AGGCTACCAAGACTATGGCAAGGAGGCTATCTTAACGCAGTCGCCAACCATCCAGCGATGTAGCCAGCGCCTGATTATGTCGCTGGCGCCTGGGCTAGTACAAAGCGGCATGAGCGTTGAGCTACGTGATATTACGCAGGCATACCCACAGGCTCAGACAACACTGAAGAGGACGATACTCGCACACCTCCCTACCGAGCTGGTACATCGATATCCAGAAGGCACGATACTCCACGTGATCAAGCCACTATATGGGATCGCGGAGGCAGGAGTCCACTGGTGGACAACATATCACGGACACCACTGCAAGGAACTAGATATGTCAACATCTACGTACGACCCATGCCTGTTGATCACGAACAGCGACGACGCAGACGTCTTCGGCATCGTCGGTATGCAGACAGACGACACCCTCATGCTCGGAACGACCGCGTTCTTATCACGCGAAGAGAAAAAGATCCAGAAGGCGCAGTTTAGATCAAAACCAAAGGCTATGCTGACACCAGAGGTGCAGTTAGACTTTAATGGATGTACACTTACGATGGACGCCAGCAGAGTCTTAATCCTCAGGCAGAAAGGACAAGGAGGAAGGATCAGGCTTGTTGATATTAGGGCACCCGACCGCGCGCAACAGTACACCGAGCAACGCGCCCGCGGAGCGTACATCGCATCAACATGCCAACCAGAGGCATCATTTGATCTGTCCGTAGCTGCTCAAGCGCAGCAACCATCAGACGAGGACATTAAGGCACTCAACAAGCGCCTGAAATGGCAGATGGAGAATCTCACTCGTGGCCTACGCTACGTCACTGTCAACCTTACGGAGGCTAAGTTGATAGTCTTTGTAGACGGCTCCTTTGCCAACAACAAGGACCTCAGCTCACAGCTAGGCTTTGTCCTCATGCTCGTCAACGAGTCCATTGGCGCCAACACCTTCACAATACAAGGCAACGTGATCCACTACAGCTCTACAAAGTGCAAGCGCATCACACGGAGCGTACTGGCCTCAGAGATCTACGGCATGGTCAACGGCTTTGACATAGGCATCGCGGTTGCAACCACGCTAAGGATAGTTACAGAACGACTTGGACTACCTGCAATTCCCTTGGTTATCTGTACAGACTCGTACTCCTTGTACGAGTGCCTAGTAAAGCTTGGGACAACGAAGGAGAAGCGCCTCATGATCGATATTATGGCGCTGCGCCAATCATATGAGCGTCGCGAGATCACGGAGATCCGCTGGATCAATGGCGAAGACAATCCTGCAGACGCCTTCACGAAGGCATCGCCAAACCGCGCTCTTGAACGCTTTATTGACGGCAATAAGCTGACAGTCCGAGTAGATGGATGGGTGCAGAGGCCAACAAGCTTTGATGTTTAATGCTATACACTGTCACTACCGATACAAGCAGAGTTACTAGCTATCCAGAAAGAAAAGACTTCCAGTGTCGGATCGTGAGTATCGGTAGAGACGTCGGCTGCTGGACACTTCGGCCCGACTTCGGCCCACCTTGCGCAAGAGCTTAGGTATACCTTCGTAGCACCTATGTTCGTAGATATCAATTAGAACCACCGAACAGAATGCATTCCTAGTTATCGTTATTTCCCTTTACGCACTTAGTGCAAAGCCAACCAACACGAACAGACATTCGGACAGACGTCAAAGGGCCGTCTTCCAACCCCGCCGCAAGCGCGAATGTTCCTGTCGGCTACTCGCCGAACAAGGACAAGGGGACTTCCGCATTTGTCAGTTTCCCTGTCCATCACTTCCTAAATCACTCGCACGACAATTGTGGCTCCCCACATGTCTATCCAAATCTACATACCATGTCACTTGCCTCACTACCGGCGACACACCATCACATGCCAAACTTTCGTGCGCCACCCCACGTAAGCAAGGCCGCTCTCGTATCGATCCGTAAGGAGGCAAGGCACCCGGCACTCCTGCTCCATATAGCATGTCAAGGCATGGCATCTGGCTGACGCACGATAATCGTCCAGGGTACGGGTATGCTGATGTCAGATTCGCGATGCTGCCCATGTCACTGTCGGGCGTGCCGAACCAGAAAAAATCAAAATCCGGACCGAAACGCTCAGATCATTATATTGAGTTTCTTAGTTCAACGAAACCCATCTGTCAAAAAACTCTTGGGTGCCACCGGAACCAAGAGCTTGGTAAAAAACCGGGAGATATGCTGAAGAATTGCCCCGGCGTTTTCGTAAAGGCTCAGGATGATCTTTTTCCGATACTACCCGTTACCAGAGGGTTATCCTTGTTTGATGACTGACCGAAGGGGGGGCAGACGTGGCAAGGGGCAGCAGGAAGGTCAAAACACACACAACACACCACTTTTGAAGTTGTGGTCTATCTTACTAGTCAGTCAGGACTCTTCAACTCGGATAGCCCATGTTCAGGCTTGCCGCGCAGAGGTGAAAAATAGGCAAAAAGCAAAAATGACGCTAACAACGCGTGTCCAAAAGCTTACACCCACGCGGTACATGGCTTGTTCAAAACTCATGCCATACAAACACACGCCAATTTGCGACACGGACGGACAACAAACTACCATGTTATTACAGTAGGCAGGACGCGAAACTCGCGCTTCCACCAGCCCATCGCATTGGGCTGGCTACCGTATACGAGAATAAATTCCAGTTCTTGCATCTTTAGCCCGTTATACCTGTTACGTCACACGCACCTTCCTCGTACAGTAGTACAGTAGTACGGTAGGTAAATCAAACCACATGTTTCTCCAACTACCTATACCCCAGCTTTACCCTCTAATCTCGCATACATGATATGTCTCTGTCTCTTACAAACACATACCCTTCCACCTTCCCCATCCTAATCATACTCCGTTCCCGTATTCACATACAAACGCGCGGTTTATATCACACCACTTTACTTGTGTACGCACACGGCAAATCCATTGCTTCCCCCATTGCCATTCCGGTCCAAGTGCCAAATCGGCTGTTTCACGCGTGCTAGTTGGTTCAGAAAAACACGCGTGTAGTCCGAGCGTCCTTTTTTTTTCTCTTGTTGCTGGCGGCGGGCTTGTCAGGGGGTAGGCAGGTATACGGTGGTGGGAAGGCGCGCCATGTTTCAGAAAATGGGCGGATCGTAACAGGTCTGGACAGGGGGGGCAGGGACATGGGTAGGGTGAGGTAAGCGAAGCGAGGGGTGTCATGTGAGCTATGCTAGCATTGGTGTTGTTGAACGGAGGAAGGGAAGTTGCAGATAGATGGGGAGGCGGATGAGTGGAGAGATTGTGTGTGTGCTGGGGTTGGGTTGCGAAGAGGGAGAGATGTGAGGACGGAAGAAATAATTTTTGTTTCTTGTTCGGAGTAAATTGTGCGAAAGTTATTTGTTGTTGTTGTAGGTGTTGTTTGTTGTTCCGGGTAGGTAAGTCGCGTGATTTTTTGCGTAAACGAGGTTTGTTTCACTCCTTTCTGTTTGGAGTAGACGAGATAGGTTCTTGGTAAACAGATGCATGTCACGCGTAAAGACGGGGGGGCTGTGATGAGGCTTTAGCTACATCGCTGAACCTGCCACATAACCGACATAGGAAACACTTTATCGCTATACTTCAAACACCTCCTTTCGCATAGACTAGACTTTGAGAGATAACATGGTGCTCCTTCTCTTACACAATAACTACTTTACCTACCGAACCACGCCTATATCTATCCCATTATCTAATCAATCAAGCAATCAAATGTCCCGGAAAATCCATGTTCACACCACACTACACTCCCCTACCAAAGATCTACACCTCACCCGCCCAAGCTTACATACACTGACCCAAGCGGAGGGAAAAAAAGAAAAGGTACTTCCCGCACCGCACCCCCCCCTACTTCGTATCGCGCACGCCCAAAGCCAAGGGTGACGACGATCTTCACAGCACTAGGGCTTACATAGCCACACGGCGGAAGTCTCCTCAAGCCTTAAGCCTCTCCCTCTTGTCGCTCAGGGTCAACTAAGCCCTAGTAGAAACTAGGTAAAGCGTTTGGATTTGCAGTTTGGATGCTGACGGGCGACCGTGGTGACGGTACGCAAGTGATGATGATGATGATGTACATGATTTTACTAGGACTGACCGTTGGGCATCTAAAAGGAACCGTTCATGGTAATCGGCTGGGTTACGTAGTCGGCAGTTGCAATGGTATGGGATGGGATGAGGGGGAGAGAAGATGGTCCGCTCACCCCTCATTTCCTAGACTAGTGTAGGGGGGGAGGAAGAGCATGAAGTGTGGCGAATTGCGATATACAAAGTGTGAAACGAGGCTTGTGAAGGTCTATTGCTTGTTCTGATTATTGGCATAAAGCTAGTGTGATATTCTTATGGCTAAGCCAGACTATGCGTGCACAGCCATATACACATGGATACGATGCAATAGTTCACGAGGTTAGAAAACGGTTGAGAGAAAGATTTGGAATCGAATACGACAAGTAAAACGAACGGAGTATAATGCAATAACAGAAGCGAAAATAGAAACTACGACGAAAGAAAGCAAAAGAGAGTAAAGGTATTTGGAAAATCAACGTTCTTATTTCTGCAGCTAGGCTAGAGACGGCGTCGCTGTGCGCGAGCGCCAAACTCTTGAGTGTTAACTTTGTCCTGCCTGTTTTCTGCTCCACCAACCGGACCTTGATCCGGTATAATGATTACACCACCACCACCACCCGATATTTCTTTCCCTTTCCCATTCCAATAGGTATTTCCTTCCACCAATGAGCGCCTTAAAAAGGGGGTTGGGTAGTCGAAGAATGAAAAGAAAAAAGAACTATGAATAAGTCATGAGGCATGGTGTGTTTCAAGACGTAACAAACGTCCCGAAAGTCCGCTCATCCTGCTCATATGAACATAATCCAAGCAAAATCCGAAACCAAAGTAGAAGAGAGGCCAAATGTTAGGAAATCTGAACAACATATAGAAATGTGCATGTGTGTGGGGTATAACCCTGCGTGCCGTATTAGACCGCTGGCGCTTTTACGAAACGTATGGAAAGAAATTGCGTGCGACTGGAATCGTGCCAAGATGAAGGGGTAATAGTACGCAGCGCTGAAACATGAAAGTATGAATAGGTCGAACGAGTGCTATGCCGTGAATATGGTCGAAGATGTGACGAATCGAATCGAATGAGATCGAATTGCCGCTGGAGTATTATCGAACCAAGATGCAGATCAGTGTTATGAGTGGAACAGGTCCCAGGCTCTTGCACAAAGTCCGATGAATTCTTGCTTCTTCTTTTCTTGTGTTTCTGGAGAATCCCGGCCGGCTCCAAAGGGACCAAGGCGTGGTTGCTGGCGGCCTAGTGGCGGTGTGCCGTTGTCTTGCTCGTATTCGTCACGGCCACGTCTCCGTGCGCTGCTGGGACCACGCTGCAATTCAGGTCTCGATGGGTAAGCGGAGGATGCGTTCTTGTTGGGCATTGGCGATGGCGGCGTGGGGGGTTGATGGCCACCGTAGTGAACGAGACGGGGCAGGAGATCCTCACGGCCACCAGAAAGTTGCTGCACTGCCTCCTCGGCCGACTTGTACTCACGAGGCCTTGATGTGGGAGGTGGCTGTGTGAATTGTGGGGGAGGGAAGCTGGGCGAGTGCATCGGGGGCTGGACATTGGAATGCGAAGAGTTTCCCGGGCTGCCGTTGTGGTACGCATTTCGCGCAGTTCCCAGCGGTTCTGGGAAGACATCCGAGATGGGAGGTAACCGGTTGTTGGTCTGCTGAGCCGGTACATGATGGATGTGTGACTGTTGCGATAAGTTGGATGGGCCGTTGGCGAGCTGTCGCGAAGCAGGTGCGTTGCTGCGGAGACCAGTAAAGGTTTGGTTGATTGGGGCTGACTGAATGACGCGGTCGGCGGAGAACTGCTGGTGCGAGGGAGGAGCGATAGAAAGACCAGGAGGAGGGCCCCTTCGGCGGGAAGTCATGGGGGTCTTGATAGTCCGTCCAAAAGCACCGATTTCAGTGTTGCGAGTGTCGTCCGACTCGGCGGGGCCAGTCTTGCCGCCCTTTTGGCGAGCCTCGATAATCTGGCGCTGGCGCTCTCTTACATCCAGACTGCGTTGGAGCTGCTCACGCATAGTCGGGTCCTGGGTGTGGAAGCCTGGCGAGAGGCAGGCGAGGCCAACATCGTGCAACTGACCCGAAGGACGGGCAGTGAGGGCACCACTCGAGTGGACAATGTTGTGGTTGGCCAAGTTTAGGCGCTGGGGTCGGTGGCGGGTGGTGGTGGGCATGTCGGGCGAGGTAGGTTCCTTCTTGACGACTATCTTGGGAGGCGGGCCACGAGACCTGCGCTCGGAGGGACGGTTAGACATGAGTGACATGATGTCTCTGTGAGGAGGGGACATTGATGTGGAGGTGGGAGACGAGGCCGAGGCCTGTCGGCTAGAAGAGGTAGAAGAGGTAGAAGAAGTTGAAGAAAGACTAAAAGACGTACGAAAGAGGTGAGCGCTTGTTCTCGGCTCTGTGCTGTGCACCTGGACTGGAGGCGGTAGGTGAAGCATTTTCGGAAGGCGGCAGCTGAGCAGTACGAGAGTTGGGCGTCACTTTGTGGGGAGAAGAAGTTGAGGGCTGGATGGGTGCATATGTCCTCGAGGAGCCTACGCCGTCTACCGACGCTGGTGCCGCATGCTGAGCAGGGGCCGGGGGATTGGCGACAACGGTGGTCATGGTCGCGTGTGGGCGTCCGTGTGAGAAGCAATGGGAGGGGCAGATAGATTGTAGGAGTGAGGGTGGCAGGGTCTTGTACGAAGTCCGCTACACCAAGTGTCGAGGGATGTGGGCAGCCAGGGCAGATCAAAGGCTGGTGCAACACGGGCGCCGGGGCAGACACCAGGGCGGGGCAAGTTTGCACGGCAACAAGTGGCAGTTGTGCAATGCGAAAAAGGTGGAACCGGAAACCAGACGAGACAAGAGGGGAGGGGGGGGGGTCACAATAAGCCAGAGAGCTGTGCAGGTTCGTGGCTTGTCGGGCGCGGGTGTGGAGGGGATAAAAATGGCGGGCACGGACGCGGACGCGATGGAGGATGAGGATGTGTTTGCAGAGGGCCAGGCTAGGATAGTTGAATGCGAGGCGGCAGGGGGGAGTTTTCAGCGATACAGCGGCTGGCATGGGACATGGGCGGGCCTGCCTGTGCTGGCCTTTGCCCCAGGCCGTCCTCCGTCTAGGGCGAGCACATGTCGCGCGCTGCGGGAGCTCGCTGCAGCAGACAGACGCCACCGGCCAACCATTGTTTCGGCTAGTAGTAGTAGTAGTAGTAGTAGTAATAGTAGTGTGATTGGTTGTAAGTGTTGGAAGGTACTGTAAGTAACTAAGTAGACGAAATGCGCACTATCATTCACCATGCACATGCTCAGACTCAGACTTGTGCGAGTGGACACCAGCGCCATCAGATTCACTTGAATGCGCGTGCCACAACTTGATGAGTTCGTGATGAGTGGTCGCTGTGTACAGCCCAGCGCGTTACAGGCCCATTGCCAATACTTGGCCCCCCGCCAATCACGGCCCTGCTCGCTGAGGCCTGCTCATCCACCCCAGACGAGCCTTTGACCTGTTTCACGCCGGCGCGTCAGCGGTTTGACCACGCTGCATTCGGCTACCATGGACACGGTGCCCGGCGGCGATTAATTCGACAGGAACATGGTTCATGGGCTCGTGTTTCAGCCAGCCCACTCGGGCCAAAGAGCCAGAGCCAGTGCCAGAGCCAGAGCCAGAGCCAGAGCCAGAGCCAGAGCCAGAGCCAGTGCCAGTGCCAGTGCCAGTGCCAGTGCCAGCACTATTGTTTCTCGACTCTCTTTTTTTCCGCGCTGGGCTCCGGGGCCATCCCTTTTGGTTTGGCACCTGGGCCCGCTGGGCTATCCCACCATGTCGACTGGTCAAGACACTTGTCGGCATCAGGGTCCGCCCGTTCCATCACGTGAAGCTACTCTCCTCAAGTCGCTCTCGGCACCACACGTGGCCGCGATAGCTTCGCCCCGTCCTCGTTGCTCTGTCATCCATCGCCTTCAGCCGCGTGTGCCTGAGATAGATTGCCGCCTACTCGCACACTACACCCACCTCACCTGACGCTACTCTTTTTCACAAACTTGCCCATGCCTGACTCATCGCCCTCTGCCTAGCTCTTGTTGAAACACCCGTCTTCGCGCACCGCCACGACAGCTCCGACAGACCGCTCCTATCAACAAGCAATCATCTGCATCCGAGTCACAATCTTAGCCCCCGCCCGTTGCAAAATCTACGAAAACGCCGTGGCTGCTTGTGTCGAGACAAACCGTCACTCATTATCCGCGTCACTCAATGAATTGCTTATGCACCTAGGCTTTTGTTGTTTGAGCGTGTTTGAAGCACCGGTGAGCTCACCGCGCTGACCATGTTTGATGTCAGCTGGCCTTTTGTTTGAATCAGGCGAGTCCACAACACGCATTACACGTGCTCATTTCACGCCTCCCATCCATCCTCGCCCTTAACACCCACCCATTGTATTATCGCCTATCCTGCACTTTCGCTTCTGCCCGCCCGCTGCCACTGCATTTTAGCCTTCTCCCGCCTTCCTAGTTGACAGCCCATCAGCATAATTGCAGAAGGTGCCGCCCAATGCGGCAATACCGTCATGGCTCCTTCCATATCGAACCAGTGGGGCCTAGCTTTTATTTGCTTCCAACCGAGCCACTGGGATACGGCTGCAAACCCTCCAACATCCAATCAGGCAACGCATCGCCCGCCGTTCTATTTCAGGCAGTGACAGGACTGTCTGACCACCCTCCCCAATGCGACGCTTGCTAGTGCCTGGCTGTTGGGAAAGAGCAATTAACTGGTCTTGGGACAAGCCTCACCTTGACTTTGCCGCCATGCAGAACTCTATCGACAGCGGTTGCTAAAGGCCATGGTCAATTCCTGTGGCTCAGACAGATTGTAGAGTCATGTAAAGCTACCTACATCGTCATGCTACACGCCTCACAGTGTGCGACCTTCTGCAGTAGGCAATGCGTCTACCCACATCTGCCGTCCCACGTATCCCCTTCTCCTTCAACTATCCGTCTTGAGCCCAACATGTCCACTACCGCCAGCATGGGATAGCTACTGTTGCACCAATATTTGATCGGCACCCAGTAGTAGTACGCAGACGTGCTGCGCCGCGCACATCGACCGTTTCGGCCCCATCGGCAGAAGCATCGCTGGCTGCTTCGAATACATAGCAGCAAAAGCAATACCATCTACCTGCGCCGTCGATCATGTTCTGTGGCGCCGCCCCTCCTGTAAAAGCATCGTGAAAAGGTCTCTTATTCATGAGTCGTCGACCGGGGCTATCGGGATCGTATTGCTTGCATGACTAATGACCATCAGACTACTACAGACACTATGCTCTTGCTGCCACGCACGCAGGGACACAACGTCGGAGCATATCTCTTCAAACCGTTCCTGTACGACGGCAATGTACGTCAAGTGCTACAATAACCCTGCATGCAGCACCTCGCCCGAATGGACCGGCTGTCTAGGTTTACGGTACACAGCAGCTCGCCTTGCAGGATCGTCCGCCGTCGTGGTATCGAGTCTTGCATATACGTTTCGATCACGGCATTCCAACGCCTACTGTATTGTGGAACGAGCTACATCATGGGCGAGTAGGTTTCTCTTTTGCCGTCCCGACCGATCAGAACTGTCACCAGTAGTCGACAGAAGTCGGTCCGGCCATCTTTTTTTTCCTTTGTGTCCCATCGGTGTTTGAATGTTTCAACAATATGCCGAGTCAGGTTTAGGCTCCAGACGGAGAAATTGTATCTCGATGTATGCCGAGATGGAAGAATGTCACTGTCACGTGCCTTTTTCCATCATCTCGGCTCCAAGGTCTACTACAACACTAACTCACTAACTCAACGGCTCAACATACATTACAGATCACCCATCAACACCCCTAGCTCAACCTTAGTTCAACCCCACCCATGCCCATCCCCCATTCCACGACATACCCATCTTAAAACCGTACCACGACCTATCATCCCAGTCATCCCACCACCTCCGTCCCGCACTTGCGAATCATCTATTCCAACGTCGGAGCGTGAATTTACCTCGGAATGTCGCGTGTCATGTCGCCCGAGGTAATGCAATATTACGTTGTTGCAGGGTATGCTGGCACCCGTCTGTTGTTCTTTGCGGCGGGCGCATGTGATGCAAGATGAGCAGGCTGTATAGTGTGGTCTAGGACGGAGGTAGGCGCATGTAATTTAGTGTGCGGTGTTGGAGGAGGGTTGATGTGTTGTTGATATATGGCTTGGAGTGTTTTGAAAGGGGGGTGATAGAAGTGGTGGTAGGGTTGTGTAAGATGTTGAAAGTAGTTGTAAAATTGTATATGTATACATGTCTACGTTTGTCGGTTTCTTCCTTTTCGCCATGCTGTATAATCACCATGGCTCTCTCCCACTCACATCGAGACAAGTCTTGCAAGAACACACATACACATACCACCATCACAAACAACAAGGCATCAATGATTCAAGACGGAAAAGAACTTGTAATTGCAACCATACTAACACATTATACCTTTTTAAATCCCAAACAGCGAAGAGTAGTAACAAAGGAAAAGGACCCCTTTCCCGGATATATACCCAACCCGGTGAAACCCCTATTCCCTACGCAAGGTGACCATGCAAATTAAATCCAAGTGTGAAAACCTCAACTCTTGCAAGATAAACCAGGTCTTGCCTTTCCCCCCTTCTTTTTCTCCATCTTATGCGCGCAGAGTGCCATAGTCGGCATTCTCAATCTGATTCGGCATCTCGCCGAGGCTGAACTTTGAGAAATCCTTGTTCAATCCCGCATCCGCCGCCGTCTTCTTCGCCTGGCCCTCAACCTCGCTCTTCTGACCCTTGACCTGCTGTGGCCTCTGCTTGGACTCTTTGGACGGGCTCTCGACAACCGTGTCCTCGGATTCATCAGCCGTCTCCTCCTCAGCACGCTCAACCAACTCATCATCAATCTCCTGCTCAGCCTCCTCATCCAACTTAGCCGTCTCGCCCTCAACATCAACCAGGTCCTCAGCCTCGGCAGGTTCCTCGCGCGCATCGGGCACAACCTCCTCATCGAGCCGCCAGTCCTGAATCGCACGGATGATATCAACAGCCAGCTGCCCGTTCTTACGCAGTGCCTTGTCCCAGTGCGCAGGAATACCCTTTTCAATAACCATCATGCGCGCAACCGAATGCACAAGCATATGTCGCATTGGGCTACCCTCCTCAGTGTTCGCGTAAATGTACTGCACGCGGCGTAGACCCGGGTAGCTGTCACTATACTTGTACCACTCACGCACCACCTGCAGGACATCGGCGACCAGACCAGGTATCTCAAACTTCTCCGCCATAAGGTACAGATCGAAGCATGTTCCTAGATCTGCTTCCTCGCGGGGCACGGGCAGAGAGGAGGAGTACAACCAGCCGACAAAGGTCTTGAAGGGGAGATCTTCTTCTTCGGGGAGGCCGAAGGATTGCGTTCGTGACGACGACGAGGATTTGGAGTAGAAGATTTTGCGGAAGAAGGGCGAGTGGTGGCAGAGGAGCTTCTCGTGTAGGATCCAGTGCGTGTTTTCGGGGCCGACGTAGATATCGACCATGGAGCGGGAGAGGAGTCTGTGGGTTGGTGGTTAGCATGCATGACAGGAGGTTGACTTTGTCGCGAACGGATGGAAGCTGTATGGGATGAATTGGATTAGACAGAGACGTATACATACTCATGGAGCGGTTTTTCCGGAGCGTTAGCCATGATCTCGTCTCTGTTCTTCTTCGTCCCTTTGCAATTCGACAAAAAGACAGCGACCTGCTACCTAGCGACCGTTGACCCGCGCCGTCGATGGATGGATTAATAACCGTCCAAATATTAACTTCCAACAAGCCTATGATAAAACCACAACGTGCAAAGTCGAAACACACAGGAGGAGCGGAAAAGGTGCAAGACGAAAGGTGTGTGTGTGGCAGTGCCAACTTTTAACAGGTCCCGCCTGTGTCTGTCTCGTCCTCCCCCAACCCCCTTGGCTTTTGGCATGGTTCTAGAATGACGTAGTTCGCAGCCACACAGCATACAAACATCATACGCGCCCACGTCCCGGTTTTTCCTTGGTTTTGGCGACGTTTTGCGCGTCAGCGCTACCCTTGTTTTCGCGTCGCACAGGCCCCTCACGGAGGCCTTGGGAGGGGATACAGATACTATGGCATGTGTGAAGGGAGCTGAAGACGAGATGGTATATCATAACAACACCTCCACATACTCATACTATCTTCACTGGTAACGCGTACATCAAACCTGCCATCTCACTTTCCCTTAATTAGGTTTACGCGCTTCGAAAAGAAAGGAAAGGGAGGCTGGCTAGTTCTGTCGTGTCGTCTTGTATGGTTATCTGTTACAGGATAAATGGAGGGGGCCGGCTTTCATGTGTGCTAAGTATGACGTCAACTGTCCCACTTCCCGCGCCCAGCACAACCTCTCCCAGCCCAACATTGGTTGACCGGACCCCGACGTTTATTACGTTTCTGAAAAGATCCGTAAAGAGGGCAATAGATTGGCGAACGGAAGTTTGGTTTTGATCTATCAAATTGCTAATTGGCTTACTATCGATTGACCACAGGCTGTGAATTGAATTGAGCTCTGGGTAAGTGGTAGTTTTGATTTCGTAATCATGCGACGGACTGCATATGGATATGCGACACTTTCCTTTTTTGCCCAGACATTGTTGCTGGGCACTTTGACGCGTTTTTGTGCACGATCGCCGACATGAGATTTGGGTCCTTTGCGGCGCAGTCGTTCTCATTTCCCGATGGGAGGAGATTGCGTGATGGTTTGGGTCATGGTGAAACGGGTTCTGGATGCCGCCGAGGTTGGCCTTTGCCGTGTCTTGTCGTTTGCACATCTTCTGATGGAGCGAAGGATGCGCTAGTAAACCGCGTGTTCTGATATTTTGATGGACCTACGATACAAGAATACGAGAGCATGCTGGTTAGTGTCTATTCATCGTCCTGTCAGTACGTGTACGCGCGGTATGTTATCGATATTAGGAATACGTATGAGCCGCGCGGCATGTTGACTACGGTATGGGTAGCGTACAGGTAGAGTGTGAAGCATGAGAGCTGATATTATAGATACCTTGTCATTATACAGGAAGCTGAGTTGACCCGTAGCTCTAGCCATGATCTACACCACGAACTCCTCGCCGAACCGCTATCCAAGACCCAACCGAACTCCTCACTAATCTCCACTTCTCAACTCCCCACCCTCAATATCTCAGCCGCTCTCAACACAGCCGCCGCACTCTTCTCCACCCACAGCTTCGCCGCCCCTTCATCCCCTTTACCCACACTATCCGTCACCGCGGGCCAAACATCAGCCCCATACCCATTGTCAATCCCCGGCGCACTAACCACATTCTTAAATGTCTCTCTACCCGGTAAACCCCCCTGCGACGCAAAACCTCTCGAAAAATCCCGAAACTTAGCGTTCACCACGCCCAACAAGACCTCATCTCCAAACGCCGTCGCCGTGTCCGCTACCTGCGCGATATGGGCGGCCTGGTGCTCAAATTCTGCGATTGCGGACTCGAGGGGCGAGAGGTCTAGGCCCGGGTAGTCGGATTCAGTGACTGTGGAGTTTAGTTCGGAAAGGTAGGATTGGAGGACTTGGGCGGCGTTGGGAAGGTCCCAGGGGATCAGGGCGTCGTCGGCGATGTGGTACAGGATTAGTGACATCCACTGTCCGATTGCGGTGTGGATCTTGAAGCCTGGGTCGCCGAAACGTGTCATCCAGGCGTAGGAGTCGTAGTTGGAGTGATAATGGTAAATGGGATCGGTTTTGCCGCCGTCGGAGCCGATGTCAATCTGTAGGATGGGTAAGTTAGGGGGTGAGTGTTAGGAGGACAGGTCCAAAGTCGAGAACTTACACATGCGATTCCGTTTTGGTAGAAACTGGCATAGTCGGATCCGCTGCCCAAAGGTGAAATTTGACCTTTGGTGGTGTTGTGCCACATATCGTAGAGTGTTGAGAAATCTCCCCATCCTTCTGGAAACAAGACTTTCTTCATCTGCTCGACGACCATGGTGTGCAGTTCACCGCTTCCAGAGAAAGAAGTCCTGGGACCGGATACCGCGATATCGAGATTCAGGTAGGCGACTGCGTTGGTCGTGAGCCAGGGAAGATGCGACTCTACCCACTCAGTCGAGCCTTGGAGTCCAAACTCCTCTGCATCCCAAGATCCAAGGATTCTGGCATGATTTCAGTGACTACTCAAAGCTCCTAGACGTCTACAACTCACATGGTCCTTTTAGGTTTCCAGCCCTTGGCAACCAGTTTCCCCAAAGCGTTCGCTAGTTCAATCAAGACGGCACTGCCAGAGTTTGGATCCGCAGCACCACCGATAATCCAAGCATCACGGTGGTTCCCCACGATGATGACTTCGTCCGTAGTTCCGTTGATAACGCCAATGACATCCCAAACAGGGGCGACCTTGTTCTCCATCAAATGATCCATGTGAACAAGGGCTCCAGGCGCTGGACCGCTATCGTACGTTATGTTGCTGAAGCCGCCAGTCCAACCACTACGGTTTGCCTCTTTGGCCGTTACACCGTGTCCTCCGAGAGCGGAAAGAAGAGGCAGGGCATCTTTCATACTAATGGGTATAGACGGGATAGAAGGAGTGTATAGAGAGATATCCCCACGGGGCGAGTCCCAAGAGGAGGCCCAGCCAACAGTCGTAGGATCTCCGGAATACAGGGAAGAAAATCGTACACTGCCTCGCTGGATCGAGGACGGATTTCTCGCAGGTCCATCTGCCGGTGTCAGTTGATTCCTATGCAGAACTGCCATAGGAGTGTATTTACCTGGGTAAGCCTCGTAACCATTTTCCACAGTGACCTCCCCGTCATCTAACGGATCAGTAAAAAGAACACATCCCACCATGCCATTATCCTGGGCGTTCTTCACCTTAGTCCCCCGATAAATCCCACCATACATTGCTAGTGCAATCTTACCCTCCAGCTCAATGCCCGCATTCTTCACGACCTGAAAATCAGCTCTAGTCCCACGTCTAAAACAACCACTCCGTTAGCACAATCCCTCCAACTACTAGATGCAAATGAAACAGGGAGAGTCTTGACATACCCAACATACACATATTCCGCCGTAACATTCCCACTAGCACTCATAGCATGATACGCCGGAATCAAATTCGGATACCCACTCGTATCATCCTGCGCCAGCACATCCTCCACTAGGTTCGCCTCATGCACACTACCATCCGGCCGTAGCAGCCTCAACCTACTGTGTTCCGGATATGTATACCAAATTGGATATTCTGCCAGCCAAGCATCGTCAAAACCTGCATTGCGCCACTTCTCCGCCGTCCACTCAGCCATGCTCCTGTTGTGGGAGCCCAAATGGTCGCCATGGGTGTAGTAGTAGGACCACTCGGCAAGGGATGTGTTGTCAAAGGAGTTTACGAGGATTGATTCGGTGGGTGTGAGGACAGGGGGGTAGTGGACGGGGCTGCGTTTCGTATGTTTGCTGTAAGGGGCGTGTTGGTGGATGCGGCGTGAGAGGGCGTCCCAGTCACGTTGGCAGGCATGTGCTAGGGCGCTTAGGAGGAACGTTGTGGTTAGTAGATTGGGCATCTTTTGGGGGGGCGAGAATGACGAGTGGCGTCACCTTTTCGAATCAAAATAATTAGATGGGTGACTTAGAGAGATAATTGTTAACTTATGCATATTTGCATGTTTTTATTCTTCAGCTACATACAGCACCCCACGATGGGATGTTCTGGAGACTAGCTTCGGAAAACAACATGACCGACTATCCGATTGTGTAACGTCTTTTTCAGTGGTTCTGATGTGATTGCAAGATGCAAGTTGATGTCGTGCTTTGTTCGCAGCTGCCAGATTCAGGAACGGTTTTAAGGCGATCCGTTGTCATCGCGGGGTATACATCTTGGCTTCACCTTGATTGAGTTAAGAGGGAGAGATACGGCAGTACATTCTCCTTGGCTTGCATCACCGCGGGACATGTTGTGGGTTAGTCAAGAGTGGTGATAAGCGTTTCTTGGCGAAGCTTCCCCGCGGTGGTGGGGTTGCGGGTTAAATTAAACCTACGCCTAAGTTAGAGAAGGATGATTGGTAAACTAGGATGCTGCCTGCACAACGTCCTCGGTGACGACTCCGATACGTATCATCCACTACAATATAAATCGATCATGACTGAACATATCAAATTGTTGGATGGGTATCTGTATTTTGAATGCTGCTGATGTTACAAACAGTAAGAAACTGCGTCTCAAAAAGATTAAGCAGTACGCCGCTCGTCGGGCATATTCTTCCTCTCCTTTGCCGTGACCTTCTTGCGGCGACGCTCGATGACCTTGTCGCGCTGCTTCGCCTTCATGTTCTGGAAGCGGTCGACCAAAGCAATCTTCTTTTGTTCGGCTGCAGATCCCAATTAGTATGAAGAACCCAAGTCGTTGGGTATACATAGACGTACACTTCTTCAAGAAAAACGGCTTCTTGCCCTCCTTGACCAGCTCCTTTTCCTTCTTCTTGTGCTCGCGAGTTACATCCTGTAACCTCTCCTTGTTCTCCCTCGCCTTCTGTTGCGACTCCATGGAAAGTAGTTTTTTCTTGAGCTGCTCCTTTTCGCCCTCATTCTTCGTCTTTTTGATGGTATTGCGCAGTTCTGCAATCTCAGACGCTCGGTAATCTTTGAGGAAGGAGTAACGCTTTTCAACCACGTAGTCTTCGGGTCGGGGCCCTGACACATTATCGAAGCGTGGATCTCGGAACACAGGCTTCTTCACTTCGACCACGTTCCGCTTTCGCGAGACCATACGCTTGCTGGATTGAACGGCCGGGGCGTGTTTGCTGGAGCGCGCATGTGGAGCAGCGTCCGAGTCGGAATCTTCCTTTTCCTCCACATTGTCGTCCTGGGTGGTCTTTGTCTTTGTCTTGCTCTTCTTTGCCTTTTTGCTGGGCTGTGTCCCATTGGCAAGCTTCTCTGCCTTGATCTGCCGTAATCTTTCTCTCAAAGCCTCCAATTTATCCTCCTGTGATTTTGACGTGTCGTCTCCCCGCTTGCGCTTCCGATCGACCGACTGCTTGCTAGAGAGTGCATCCTGTGCCTTGGCTAATGCGCCGAAAGAGACTTTGCTCATTTGTGCTTTTATTTTGTCGTCGTCGTGGTCGGATGCATCTGACTTGTTAATGTTAGTATAAACTACTGGTCCAGTACCAACGACTGATGCTTACCATGTCATCATCCGAACTGATTACATTGCCACCCTCATCTGCCTCAATCACGGAGGCAGACGAGGACCTGTCGGTGACCTCGTAGTAATCCTCGCCATCTGAGCTTTCCTCTGCAGCGCGCAGATTACGGTCGAGTTTGTTTGCTAGGACCATTTTTGCAATGTGCACAAGATGAGATGGTGGTATCTGCTTGTGGGCGCGCGCGCAATGCAGCTTGTGATAGTAGAGTGAAGATACCCGCGGCTGGCCCATCTTTTTTGTGGACCCCACACGTCGGGGGTTTAATTCGCCGACAAGGCTGACAAGCAGCTAACTGCGCCCAAATTTCGTATCGCATGCTCACTGCGCGCTTCGTGTTGCGCGCGCGCAATCGACAATTCACCGGCTTTTGCGTTTGTTCTTTCGTATTCCCCTCCCTACCATCGCACGTGATCCATGGCCGCAGTCGCGTCAACTCGGTACATACAGCCATCCCCATTGCTCTTCTGTCACAACACTCACGCTGACATGGATAACTTCAAGACCACGACAGGTCGAGATAGCTTTCCAGAGCAGACGCCCGGTCGTGCCTCAACCCCAAGCATGAGCGAATTCTTCAACCCGCATGCGCTGCCTTTCCAGCCTGGCAACTTTCCCCGTCAACAGCAGTTTGCTGGCGCTTTCGAGAACCAGCTTCCGCAACGTCTCCCCCACCAGACGGACCCATCATTTCGCGGTCACCAACGGCCATATCCGTACCAAGGGCTCTATGAACAACCTATGGCATGGCATGGTGTTCCGCCGCCGCCGCCGCGAAACCCACCCCCACCACCTATGCCTCAGCAGCCTCCACACATGAGCCCCAACCAGCATGCCTTCCACGAGTATGCCGCCTACCAAGAAGCACTCAAACGTTACCAATGGATGGTAGACAATGGCCATGTACACCCATCATGTCCACCGCCGCCTCCGCCCAACTTCCATCCAAGCGCTGGAGCCTACGCAGCCCAGACATATGGCCCACCCTACCAGCCACAACACGGCTATCAGCACCATATACATCAACCGCAGCAACCTCCGATGGCTCGGGCACATTACTCCACGATGCATAGTGGAAATGACGATACAAAGACGAAAAGGTGGGATAATCATGGGCAAAACAAGCAGGTCCAGTGGACTAATAAGACCCACTGCAAAGCCATGCCCTCCATGAAATATGCTAACTCGAAATATAGAGTACCCGCTCCTCAAAAGAAAAAGTCGAAATCCGCCAAGCCACTGTCAGACCTACCGTTCCGCATCGACCTTGATGCAGCCAAGAAGCCACACACTAACAACGTGTGTAGGGTTATGAGCAAGGTTACACACCCAACGCCTGCCGGCGAGAACAAGGCCGACGAGAAGAAGCCTGGTGCAAAGAAGGGGCGTTACGGCGATGAGAAGATTATGCTTCCTCCGCCGGAGCTCAGAGAAGAGTATCTTATTCAAGCCACTAAAGAGCCATCCGCAAGCGAGACACCTGGTCAGATACTAGTCATCTTGGATCTCAACGGCACCGTCTTGTTCCGGCCCAACCGCAACTCCCGGACTATGATCGCGCGTCCGTTCTTGCAACCGTTCCTGCGCTATCTTTTCGACAACTTCAAAGTCATGGTATGGTCTAGCGCTAAGCCTGAAAACGTGAAGTCACTCGTCAGCCAAGCTCTAGACAACGATCTCCGGTCAAAACTCGTGGATGTATGGGGCCGTGAGTCCTTCGGATTATCGGCATCTCACTATGCAAAAAATGTGCAAGTGTACAAGAATTTGAAGCTTGTATGGTGTCGAGGCCAGATCCAGTCATTTCACCCAGATTACGAAACTGGCGGTCGATTTGGCCAGCACAACACCGTACTTATCGACGATTCTGCGATCAAAGCAAGTGCGCAACCGTACAATCTTCTTGAGATTCCCGAGTTCTCGGCTACCCCTGATCAGATGAACGGCGACGTACTGCGTGAGGTTGCTGGCTATCTGGAAGCATTGCGATGGCAGACGGACGTTTCCAGTTTCATCAAGACGGAGCCCTTCAAGGATGGTGGCCGATGGACGTTTGATTGGCCCGATTCCGCTGCGGGTGGTGGTGAGATGACCAGCAAGGCAACTGCCACAGCTACAGCACCGAGTAAGAAGAATAATAAGAAGAAATTAGCGAGAGAGGCGGCCGCCGCTGCTACTGAGACCAAAGCTAACATTCTTGTATCACAGACGATCGACAGTCTGGCATCTGTGTCACTGGCAGCATCGGTACAGAAGGACTGGTAAAATTGGTAAAGGACTGGTAGAGGCGGAACATTATTGATGGGCACAAAGGGCAGCGAAGTGTCACAAGATCACTTCTTATGAAGGCGGGGTTCTAGAGAAAGGTTAAAAGTTCTGCATGGAGAGATCTGGAATATTTTGTATAATGCCACGATTCACGCATACAAGGGCAACTGACCTGAGGTATGAAGTGGATCTACGATGGAATGATTTCATAGAGCTCTATACTGGTCTTTTGCTACGGTTGGGCGGTTTGATGTACAGCCATAAGCTCGACACCATGGCGACGATGCCAAGATATGATTCCAATGAATCTCTTTTCCCCAACCGAGACTTGCCTGTACACACGTGATTATGGGTGTGCAGTTTACTGCAAAATCCTCATGATTGTGATAACAGAGCCGCCTCGACTTAAGCGGGGGCCCGCATTATCTTTCTTCGTTCTGCCAGCTGTCAAATATAATCTTTCAATGCAGATGTTTCCTACGAATATAACCAATTTTACAACAGTTTTTTTATTCATATTGTATGTTGGAAGGCCTTGTACGATCGTACGGTGAATAACAGTAGCTAAGGTAATCTTGTGTATTGGTATTCTGGTGTATGATGATTCTACGAATGTGGGGGCTACGAAGGTATACATAGCGTTGGGTCCGAGTTGGGCCGAAGTAGGATCGAGGCGGTACATTGGGCCTTATTAGGCGACACACCGTGTGTATGCCGACATTGTAACTTATTTTATGGGGTTGCGTACGCATGCATGTCACATTTCAAATTCTGACAACCCAACCCACCCCACCTAACCCCTCTTTCTCTCATCTTATGACTCACCACCCCGCTTACCACACAAAATACCTTGACAAATAACCAAACAGGTCTGCTCATTATTACGTACTGCTTCTAATATTTTACTGTGGAAATATATCAAATATTGCGGATTTTTTCCATCAAACAACGATAACACGGTCGCTTAGCTCAGTTGGTTAGAGCGTGGTGCTAATACCTTGTATGATACGCCAAGGTCGCGAGTTCGACCCTCGTAGTGACCAATTTCTTTTTTGCTCCCTACTTCTCTCCATTAATAGAACGAGAAGTTCGGTTAGGTGGGGTTCTTTTTGCTGAGAAGATGTATATATACATAACAGGCTACGCACTAGTGCAATACAAGCAACTACAAAGTGGGATTTCTGTTTTTTAATTCTTGTATCTTATTCTGTAGCATGACTTCTCCAAGCCATGCCTGATGATATATAACCTTCATATACTCGTAACATCATTAACCTTCTCAACCACTACTTCCTCAAATCTGTGGCACAGCGTCGCTCACACTTCCCATATCCATGGTCAGCGCCTCCCTACATGCGCCATTCTCACACACCATGACGCCCTCTTTATCTGCGTTCATACTCTTGACGAGCGGGTTCCTCGACTTGAGCCACTCACCCACGCCTTTACCCAGCTTACTTACCGTGCCCAACCCAGCAGGCCGATTCCTGTATCTCTGCAGCCACTCGTCTACTTTCTTGCCTTCGCCCGTGATGACAGAGTGCGAGATACCCAATTTACCGACGACGACTGCATCCATCATAGTAGGGAAGAGGAAGGGGTGTTGCATGATTTCGGCCTCGAAAGCAGACGCCGTATCACGAGCTTTCTTTGTGTAATCCTCGTGTTCAAGTAAAGCGCCCAGACGATCCAGATTCTGTGCCGAAACGCCATTTGTGCCTGGTTCAGCGTTGTCCATGCCGTCTTTGAGGCGCATGATGAGGTCCTTTTGGTCTTCGGGCGTGGAAAAGAAACCCAGGTGTTGTTTATCCCAGAACATTGCGAGTTGGGTTTGTTGGAGGTCGTCGGCCCATTGGAGGTATGTGTCGTTGAAGGTGGCTTCGTAGAGGTCAATGAGGCCCGAAATGAGGTAGGCGTAGTCATCTGCAAAGCCTGGGGCGTCGCCGGGGCCTTCGCGGTAGACGCGGATGAGAGTTTTGGAGGTGGAGTTGTAGAGGTGTGCGCGGAGGAAGGTGGCGGCTTTTTCCGCTGCGGCGAGGTACTTCTGCGACCGTGTGGGGTCTTGGGAGGAGAGTGCAGCGGATGTGCGGGCGAGAGCGCCAATGGCAAGGCCGTTCCAGGAGACTACGATTTTGTCGTCGAGACCTGGTCGTGGACGCTCCTTGTTACGGTGGTCAAGCAGCTTCTGGCGGCCCTCCTCTAGGATCTTGTTGACCTCGTCCTCGGATAGGCCGAATTGTTGTGCCAGGTCTGGCTTTGTCGTGGTGACGGCTAGTACGTTTTGGTTGATGAGCTCGTCGTGTGCGTCGTGTTCCGGAGCAACGTTACCCTCGTCCTGGACATTGTAGTACCGTGCCAGAATCTCAGCGTCGCGATCGCCAAGTATCTGCTGGAACTCCTTCAAGGTCCATACGTAAAAGGCACCCTCTCGCTTCTCCTTGTCGTTCGGTCGATATAGCGAGTCGGCATCTTCAGACGAGAAGAAGCCACCGCTCTCGGCCTGCATGGGCGGACTTGTGAGATATGTCGCAATATCGTGGACGGCCGAGAGATGCTCAGGGCTTCTCGTCATCAGGTAGGCGTCTAGGTATACTGGAAGTAGTTGCGCCTGGTCGTAGAGCATCTTTTCAAAATGCGGTAAACTCCAGTCCTTGGTGACTGAGTACCGCGCAAAGCCGTTTCCTATCTGATCATGTATACCACCCTTGTTCATCGCGTCCAGTGTCGCCAATGCCATGTCCTTTGCATGTGTGCAGTCTTTGGCACTGAGCACCTCTCTGACGGCACTCGGGTATTGCGACAGCTTTAGGAGGAATCGAAGGTTTGAAGGGGTGGGGAACTTGGGCGCGCCGCCGAAGCCTGCATGGGCCTTGTCGTACCTCTTCTTGAAGTGCTGTATCTGTTCAGCGAGAGAAGCGCGAATGTTGTCAAACGTTACTCACCTCGTATGCTTCGTCAAGTGTGTCCAAATCAAGGCCCTCAGGAGCTGCGCCGTCTTTCCTGCTAATGTTTCCATCCTCGGCAAAATCTCGCAGCTGTGCTGTGATTTCCTTTGCCGACTCCAGACACCTCTGTCGCTGGTCTCTCCACACATCTCTTATCTTCTCCAGTATGCCAACAAAACCAATGTGCTCTCCCATGGCCATTGTTGACCCTGGACCAGGCCAGTAGGTCCCACCAAATATCGGCTCGAGATCTGGCGTGATGAAGGCGTTCAGTGGCCATCCTCCTGAGCCTGTTGTAGCCTGGACGTAGTTCATATATATGCGGTCGACGTCTGGGCGCTCCTCGCGATCGATCTTTATCGGTATAAAGTTCTCGTTGAGCAGCTTCGCAACCTCGTCATTTTCAAACGATTCGCGCTCCATGACATGACACCAATGGCATGCTGCATATCCTATACTGATGAAAATCAATCTGTTTGACTTTTTCGCCAACTCGATTGCTTCTGGTCCCCACATCTGCCACGCCACCGGGTTGTTCATGTGTCCCCGAACATATGGACTCCGGCTCTCGCTCAGGCGGTTCTTGAGCTTCAAATCATCACCTGACGAGGCAGAGTTGCCAGATGTTGTGCTGTGCGCTGCCATCCTAAGAATCGAGGTACGAAAGCTGCGCTGTGGCACTCGAGATACAGCCCGGGAAGGCGCAATAGCGGGAGCAGGCAAGTAGCGAGTCGGCGTAGTCACGACAGGAGTACGTACAGAGCGGCAGGATCCCCGAAGATTAAATCGCACGGAAGGCATACAAGCAAAAATGTCAAAAGGCAACTATAGCGGCGAAATGTTCGGCGTAGCTCTCGACGTTATCAATCGAGAGCTGCGGCTGAGCTACCCAAATCGCGAATTGCCCCGCCCCCGCCAACGACGTAATCCGCCGCCACGACTGGCTAGGGAATGCGCGGAGATTTGGTCTTCACAATCTACAGCCGTCTGACCTGCATCAATTTTTGCAAATTTAGTACATCACACCGACGCAAACTTCTGGAAGTTACCATGTCCGTGATCGGCATGACGTACGCCAGGCGCTAGTTATCATCTTGGCTTCTACCCTTGAAGCTTTCATGGTACCAAGCACCGCTGGACTCGACCACACAACTCCAAGACCGATCCGGAAGACACAAGGACACAATGGCACGTGATACTAGGCACCGAAGCAACATGTATAACGTGCGCGGTTACTGGCTATAACGCTAGTTAGTTCGACATTACCTTGTCGCCATGCATTGGTGTCTCAGATAAACATGGTCTGGACTAGCCTAGAATTTCTTTTGTACAGGCCTTCATAAATTTCATTTCTCAATGTCAGATCACATGCTCCATATAAGCAAAGATGGCCTCATGGACTCTATCTCTTTCGGGTATGACAGTCTCGGTTCATATCCGAGGACCGAGAGCAGATGCGTAATCGCTTCCATTCTAAGATGAGGCGCTACATGATCAAAAGTTGAAAGTCTGAATGCGCACATTCTGATATGTGTAAGGTGGTGTGGCTGCAGCAGAAGGGAGTAGACGCAAGTAATAAGGAATGCCGGATGCCCGGTCAATAGCGTATCGTTGACGGTAATCCTAGTACCATGAAAAGTATCATGAAATTCTCGGGAGCTCTAGCCAGTGAACGCTCCTAAATGAGAGCAGCCATTATTTAGCCAATGTGTCCCCAAGATACAGTAGAGGTTGCGTCTATCAGTGGGCTGCTACCGTGAACGAGCGTACAGGCGTTATGTGTATATGTAGTCTAGCCTAGGCTTTTGCGTTTGCAATACTCTAGGCATGGTTCTCCTGAGGGAAAGGATAGCGCGTGCTCATGAAACCCGAAACACAGGGTAGTACTGAACACCGGGCCATTTCCCACTATGCCTGAACTTGATTGACTGATTACACAAGAGCAAAGCACGAGTTACTGCCACAGCGTGTTAGGTGCCAAATGGAGATTTGTGGTGAATCTGTACGAGATTGAATGAGCGCCGCGTCCGATGCTCCAGACGTATCCACGTTGTCTAGACCCCGTGGCAATGCGACAAGTCTAGGAACGGATGACAGCGCCTTCACATTGAGGTTGTAGACCTGCAAGGCAGTCCCGATTCCCGTCTCTGTCTTAGCGTGGAACACAAATGTTGCCTCGCTCATTGGCTGGTTCCTATCAAATCTCCCGTACAAACAAATCATTTCAGTCAAACAAGTCGGCCAAGTGTGAGGTGGGGGCGCGGCATCGGGCTGACTAGCAAATAGACTCAAGGTGGCGCAATGAGGGCTGTTTATTCCGAATATTGAGGAAGAGAAGGCGCAAACGTAGTGCCATGTGGACATATCCACGCCAAACAGAGATAGTACTGCGTAATGCCTGGCTTCGACCGTCAATAGCTACCTTGCACTGCAGAAGACTCGTGGCTACCTGGTCCACATTCACTTGGATGTGATTGCACCAATGGCATCGCTCCTGTTGGTAACTGTAACTCACGTAGAGCACCGTCGCTCCCGCTTCATCTTACCCGTGCCTTGTGCAATCTTATTTAATAAACATTAACCTCATCCCTCGCTTTTCCTCGCCGCAACCACAATCACTCAACCCCCACATTCCTTCATCTGTCTTTTCCTCTTCTCTCGTGCAGCTTGTCTGAACAGAACATACACTCTTTACTTTTCCGTACAACTAACTACACTCGCTTCTTTGTCTCAGTCGCGCCACTGTTGCACTCCAAAACACCCCAGTTCCGAGGAAGCTAGCTGTTAGGTAGGTCTAACATGCCTCTTTCGAATAGCCCTACCTTTTATTGTGGAGGGAGACATGGCGAGCATGTATAAACTTGCATTGCCAAACGCATCGCTTTTCTGCAATCATCGCTGATCAAGCAGACAGTCTTCCCACTCCCTTCTGAACGGCGATTCGGTATCCACCCACTTGAACAGTACGATAGTTCCAGTCTCTCCACGAGAACTCAAGATGCGTTCCTCTCTGCTCATCACTTCTGCCCTGGCCTTGGGTGTCATCGCACGACCACAACTCTTTGGGAGGCAACCCAAGATTGTCTACAAGACCGAGGTGGTGATCCAGACAGTCATCGTGACTATCACGCAGGATTACGTTGCGCCATCGTCTACCTCTTGCGCGACTTCGCGTACTGCGGTACCCATTACTACCTTGATACCTCGGCCCAAGCCTGTACCCTCTTCGTCGATCTTGGTCATCCATACTACTCCCGCTGTTTCTCCGGTGTCTACTACCTCCCGCACTCCTGCGCCAAAGCCTTCAACTACGACTAGAAACGCCCCCTCGGGTACTAGTCAGGCGTATCTGTCCGCAGGACCCGATTACCAAGCTGCTGTGCTCTTCCATCACAACGCCGCCCGTGCCAACCACAATGCTGCGCCATTGTCATGGGACTCCAGCTGTGAATCCAACGCCCGAATTGCTGCCAGCAGGTGCGAATTCAAACACTACATTCCCAGTGGCGCCGGCCAAGGTCAGAATCTCTTCGTTGTTTCTGGTAATGCATTCAATGTCACAGCAGGCATCTCGGAAAGCTGGTATCGTGGAGAGCTTAATCCCATGATGCCGTGGTTCGGGAAGAACGACCTACCCCATGACGTCTTCGAGGAAGTAGGCCACCTCACACAGATGGTATGGAAGGGTACTACCAAGGTCGGATGCGTGTCGCTGGACTGCGGAAACGCCATGACCGTCAATGGCCAGAAGTCTACGATGAACAAGTTCACTGTCTGCAACTACGCCCCGGCTGGGAACGTTGGTGGTCAATATGCCGCCAACGTTGTTGCCCCCATCTCTTCTACTAACCTTATCGGCTGGGCGGACTAGGTGTCGTTCGAAACGACGCGTTATGGGGTTTTCTTCTCTTCCATGATTGAATGGATTGGAGTGGTTTACGATTATACGAATATCGCATGGCAGGTCAGGAGCGCTGCATGCATGAGGCGGGTCTTCTTTTTTCTTCTACAACACGACACGGCCCTTCTTTTGCATTTAAGCTCATCATTCTTTGAGCAGCCAGGTTCCAAAAGGTCTGGGGACGTGTCATTGTACATATTTAGATGTGATCAACATCAATTCAGCCTTTGGGATTTTACTTAAGGTGCATATAAGTCATGTTGCATGCCTATACAATAGCACCAAGCGAACTAAGAGGCCAGGTAAATGCATTATTGGATGGCGGAACAAGCAATCGCTCAAGGTCCTCGCAATAAGCCCGATCTTAGCAGGGATACAGACGATGACGATGTGATACTCTCCGATGCTCGGTTAGCGTAGTGCGCTTTTCAGGATAGCTTGCCGGTACGATTTTACTGACCCACCCTACGATTTTACCAGTAGAACGCGGCCTCCAATACATGGAACTTCTTTGAATTATTGATGTTTTCCCCTCATCTGTTGCGTACCAGGTACGTTACAGCCTTATGACTAAGTTTGAGCGCCAGCATTGCTTCTTTACTTACAGCAAGCTACCCACAAGTTACATACATTTTACAGCACCTGTGGTGGCCCTCTCATCCGTCACAATCTCAGGAATGAAAAACGACTCGCATTGTCTAGAATAATAGCAACGCGTCACATCCATATTTCAAATCTTCCTGGAAGATGGTTCTGACTCTAAGTGATTAGCTTGCCGACTTGCAAGATAGTTGAATATGGTAATCTCATGATTGACTGGTATCGCGTATGGCATTGTCAGCTCCAGGGGAGATATAAGGTAGCATGAAGAGGATCATCGCTATTACCATCAGCAACGAGGAACAAGTTCACCTGGATTCGAGGAGGAAGTTGGAGCGGTTCACCTAGGCGCCCCTATGATGTTAGGCGGTGAAGCATCACCCCAGGGCTTCACCGATTGAACAACAACTGCATTTACCCAAAAGAACACAAGGGAAGCATATCACGAGAATGCGGTATGACGCCCAAGCATACTGATTACGATCAATCTCCCATGAATTGATCATTTGGTCTCTCGGACTGAGATTGAGTGAAACGGCTTCAAGTTATACATCCCATGACACGAATCTAAGAAATCTACCTACACGGCCCCTTGCTTGGCCATGGTGAATTCTACCTCAGATGTAAGCGTGGATGAGATACCGAGTACGCCTGTGCCGGATCGGTGCGAGTAAGCAAACCGAGAGATCGACAGGAATAAGGTTCGGGGTGGTGGTCAGCCCCCAATTTAAGGAAGATTTAGCCGATATAAGGGCAAGCGGTGTTTGTGTACGGGGCTCCCGTGAATACGGTGACTGGTCATGAGTATGACTGTATTTGCGAAGGGAGAGTGGTAGTGTTCTGTGTGGAGAATGTTAGACCATGGATATGATACATCCATCGGACGTAGTATTGACTGCGTTCCGGGTAGTTATTCATACGAATCCATGAAAGAAGTACCGTAAAGGTCTTGTAGAGTGTGTGATGTTGGCGTTGAAGCGTCGTTGAGTAGTCGATTGGTGTTCCGACCTGTCTGGCGTAGGGGCGCAGCGACTCAAAAGTGTCGGCCGGGCAAGCCAGTCTCCATGCATTCACTTCTCACCAGCTAGCTCTCCTCTTATAGGACTAGCTTCTTCTAGGCTTCATCCCGCACCTATATAGCTAGTCCTTCGCTCTTCTCAATACAACAACGATTTTCGCCCACTCAGTTCCCCGATAAAAAGCACGGCCGGATCGTAAGACATCGTCTGTACCAAAGAGGAAGTGATAGCCAGAGATGGTTCGAAACGTGACGCAAGAGGTGTAGTACATACGTACTGCTACCAGATGTAAATAAACACAGGAAAAGGACCCTCCGTTTCCCCCAGAATCTAATCTTCAATTCATTCCAATGGCTCCCCTAACCAGCCCTCCCTAATCAGGCATGCGATTCGCCATCTTTCTCTCTATTCTTGCCAGCGTAGCAATCGCAACACCCACCCCTCCATTCGATCACAACGGACCTCTGGGCAAAATACAAGCAAGAGGATTTACCGGAGGTGCTTGCGGCGATTGCTGTGTCAACAGAGTAATCATGTCGAATTGCTGCTCAACTAGCTTTTCTTGCGACCCTTGCGCTGGATTTGGCGGTGTATGTTACAGTCTTTGCTACTCATGCACCGTACACGTTCAAAGCTAACCACTATTCTAACTTCATAGCCGAAGAGCTCCTGCAAAGGCTCATGACGCAGTATCATTCCTCGTCGACAAATGGGAGGATGGCGGTGTCAGAACACGAAGTGATGTGTTGGAGCTTACGTACCCGTGAACAAAGCGTACGGTAATCACGCCGAATAGGATGCAGGGCGGTCGAGAATTGAGATCTGAAAGACATATAAATAGCTAAGAGAACCACTGCTTGTTCACCTGTTCGTCCTGTTCCACCAAAGCGTCTTTGAAAATCTCAGCTCATCTTACCTCACAACCCTCATCATGCGTCTAGTTACCCTTCTCTCTGCCGTCTTTATCAGCCTAACGATAGCTACTAGTGACAGCCCTACAGGCCCGAAAAGAATACGAGCTCCAGCTCCAGTCCCATCATCTGTTCCAACGGGTTGTCAAATGTGCTGCTCTAGTAGAGGTAGAGAGTTCAAGTATTGCTCCAACAATCCTTTCGACAAGTGTGAAGCTTGCAAATTTCACGTTTGCGATCCTCCTCTCTATTGTCTTCATTGGTGTGTTAATCGCTCGCCGGCACTTCTATGCCTGAAAATCCACAAAAAGTGCGAGTCGGAGTCTGAAATCGTATGTATCAGTAAACAGGTCGAAACCCTCTATGTTAGTTGGAGTATAAGAGGGACAACAAGGAAGATCTGTCAGATTTTGCTTACGATTCGCGACTTGGGGGAGAGAGCGCACTAGGTAGATCGAGGTTTGGCCCAAGCTTTACGAGGACCAGCATCACAAGATTGCAAGATGAGACGTTTCCTGTTAAAACAGCCCGAGCCATAAAACGATCGATTTACCGCATTTCGGATATCCGCTACAAGACACGTCATACCTGTGCTGCCAAGAATGTTAGGGTAGGTATACAGGGCCGAAGTATACCTACACATGTGCATAGCCTGTCCAGAATTACTTGTTCACCATTGCAAAATCGTCCCAGCAAACCTCACACCCATTGTCGTTCTCAAAATTCTCACTATGCGTCTCACAATCCTTCTCTCAACCATCTTTATCGGCCTAGCAGTGGCTGCCGGAACTCCTACCAAACCTGAAAAACCAAACTAAGCTCGTCAAAATCAAGCCTTCATAACGCCGTGTGCGGATTGCTGCCCGACGCAGGGTAGAACGAATAAGTGTTGTATTTTCCCCCTAGGGGCACACGTTGCTCACCTTGCGCAGCTAACGGGTTGGTACGTTCAATTCCCTGGGTATCAACGTGTATCTTGATAGCCATATCTAACTATCCTGTGCTTTTGGTAGCCCGATTGCTAGCTGGAGTATCGCCCATGTGCACAAGGTTGAGGCGGCAGCCGGAAATGTACGAGAGGCGTTCTCATGAACAGAGAGTTGGGAAGAAGCAAATTTGAGGGACCTGACGGACGGAGGCCATGTTGGTTGTATCATCAGGCTTGGGGCACGCGGTCATGTTGGGTAGATCGCACTTGGGACGTTATCAGACCCTGACCTTATATCGAGTTTCAACATTTCCAATCACATTCGCAGTGAAATTCTCAATTCTTTACTACCAGAAGATGCGTTTGTTGACTTTCTTGCGGCAACAGCAGGTCCTTCACGGTAGTACCTCGGCAGTGTTGGACCTAGTGCTTACTTGCCACGTGATGATCAACCACTACCGGTAGGACAAGACCGAATCGTAAAAAGAAAACTATGGCGACCAAATCTCTTGTTCCCTGAATTCCTAACATTGAAAGCTTTTTTGTTCGTATCGATCCTCCAACATGCAGTACCAGTGTTGTATGTTGTCTTAAACACTGGATTAGAACGAGTGCCTATCTATAGGACTGTTCTACGAAGCTATCGAAGGATGTATAGACTGGTAATGTTATGAAAAATATTGTGCCCAGCTCTGAGTCGTTGTTCGCAACATGTAGTTACATGTGGGACGAGAAGGGCTAATTAATGTTGTTTACAAAATTAACCACCACCACATTCTTGCGACTTCTCCTTTTTTTCCCTTTAGAGATCACGTACATTCCCAAACACTTTGTGATTCTTGATAGCATCCCTAGAAAAGTCCAATGTCAAACATAATCATACGTATACCAAGGATGTTGGTAGAAGCTCGATGTTTAGTTCAAATGTTATAATATAGTGAAGTTGTTGGAAGGTCTATAGCACTAGTGCTGAAAGGAAATAACGATAACTAGGAATGCATTCTGTTTGGTGATGGTTCTTCTTGATTCTCTACGAACATAGGTGCTACGAAGGTATACCTAAGCTCTGCGCAAGGTGGGCCGAAGTCGGGCCGAAGTGTCCAGCAGCCGACGTCTCTACCGATACTCACGATCCGACAGAAGTCAACAAACCCTTCTAGCCCCGTGCTTGGTTCCGTGAAATGTTTGATAGGAGAACCAAACCAAACCTGAGGGCCACAAGAGCACAATAGAAGAGGGTTGTAGAACAATAGGAAGGACATGGAACATACAGACAAAATTTTGTCTATATCCAAACCAATCCAGTTCACTGTGTGCAGACTTGTCAACAATCAATCGATCGACATGATTGATTCCTATATAGGTTAAAGAATTACTTCATTAGGTAGCCTTTAGCCTAGATAGGAATCAATCATGCCGATCTGATTGATTGTTGACAAGTCTGACTGTGTGTCTCTTTCTCAGTAGCGCTCAGACAAGATGAAGTCACACTCAACAACTTCCAAGATATCACGACTATCGCACAATGAAAGCAACTTCTATACCAGTGCAGAAGCCAGTTTACTTCACCCAGAGCTATCCATACGGGATTCTGTCAAATCACAACAGGCACGTACGAGAGGCTAGATGATAAGTTTTTGTAACGGTGTGAGGAGAGGAGGAGGACTGCGTTGCATTGTGTAGCTATGGAGGAACTGCAGCTATATAGGTGTGTGTGATGAGAAAGTGTGGTAGCGATGGCCGTACCCAACTCTCACCCAAGTCGGTCTTGGCAAGTCCCAAACCGTTACAGTTTTGATCACGCGTATATGAGGTCCCATGCTTGTCTCTAAGCAATAATATCTTTGTCCTAGTCCAATCTAAGTCACTTTCACGTACACAGTTAAGTTGAAAAGAGAAAGAAACAAAGGTTGCATCTTGCATACGATTCCAGGCGAGACGTAGTGTTGACACACATACTCTTCTGTACTCATCCCTTCAGCCAGCCCCTAATGCCTTTTCTAGCCAACAGCGCAACAAACCTCAAAAGGCCACTCTTTTCCATTCTCACCAAAGCTCCATTAGATACTTAACATAGCGCTACCGATATCTCTGCACCTCGGGCAAGGTCAAAGTACCGTTACCTGCCTGCTGCATAACACACTTGTTCCACTGAAACAAAAGACACTCCATACTTATGCTTAATTCTGACAACAGTCTAAACTGAAACTAATACAAAGTACCAAAAGAGTAAGTGACAAGGCATCTTCCACCAGCACTCCCCAAAATGCACCCACACAAAGTAACCTTGTTGTTACAGCGACAAGCTCAGCACCATCCATGGACGAAAAAAGATACCTGGGCTCTCTCGAATCATCGAGAAGGAAACATACAACCTACACTTTGCAACCCAACCCGGCCACAAAGCAAAACGATGTCAGCGAGCCCAACGCGCACGCACGCTACCGACAACCCCATTCCATCTGGTACTGTAACCGCATTCCCCTAGCGTCCGCGCCGCGCCACTCGGAAAGAAGCCTAGCCGCTTTCGCTGCATCAAAACCCCGGAGATTAGATGCCTAACCGCAGTTACCCACCTCCGACAAAGCCAAGACCCAAGCTTTGCTTTGCCCAGAGGGCTCCACTCCACTCCACTCCACTCCACCGCCACAAATATCTCTCTCATTTTACTTCTCCCGCCTCGCGGCGAGCAAACCGCACGGCATGAGTATGTCACCACGCACGTACACACAGCACTAACAAGGAAGACGCCTTGAAACAATGATAATCAATTGAACCATTTCATGCGAAACAAATTCGTCTTTTCTCGTATTCATCTCGGCCTATGAGCCACCCCTTCCCTTGCTCGTAAAGCCGTAGACTATACCAGACCATACCATACAGTTACAACGTGTTGCCGCTATGAATGGCGCACAGACACCCACCCCCTAGTAAGCAAACCATAATCACACAACAACAATAGTAACCCATGTTTGGTATCCCTTGAACCAGCGATGATCCCTATATCAAAAACTAAAAGAAGAACAATCCCTATCCCAGCAACTGAATTATGCGCCGATTCATGAACCGAAGTAGAAGTGTGTCATGTTTCGTTTCCCTCCCCCGTAAAGTAATATTCACTAGCAATAGTAGTAACAACCGAATCGCGTTGGACCCCCCCCCCCCCCCCAATTAAACTCCGAAGCTCTTTTTTGTGATGGTATGGGGAAGGATACGTGATGTGTGAGACCGCTGGACACCGCCGTATCGAGAGGCCTGGAAGAATGCGACCATCTGAAAGATATGTAGTGATGAAAAGAAGCGAAAGGTTATAGTATATGAACAATAGAATGCACTTGTGCCGACCCGTGGTGAAAGGCGATAGTGAACAATTCGAAATACATGGCGTATGCGTGTATGAGCGTATCACTTGTGTGCGGCGCGCGGGTTATATGGGAGACTAGCTTAGTAGGCAGCCTCCTTAATGCTGACACCACCGGTGTTGTGCTTGCCGTCTAGAGACGTCGTGTCTACAGGTTCGTCAATGGTGGAGACGTTCGTGCTTGGGTGCGAGCTGCTCTGGGGCGATTGTGCGGAACTGCTGAGAGCGGGCGTAGGCATCGTAGGAGAGTCAATGCGATCGTAACGGTACATTTTCTTCTCAACCTGCAAGGGATTAGTTAATTGTTGTAAGAACTCGTATCCGTCGTGTGCACTTACTGAAACGCATTGCTTGCCCGGAATGACCTTCTTGGCCTTCTCGAGTTCGGGCTTGAGCGCCTGAACAAACATCTCGTAGTCGTTTCGGCCAAGGGTATCCAAGAGCTTCTGGATGACATAGTTGCCGTATCCGTCCCGCAGTAAGTTCATGACATTCGTCTCTCCACGCTCGTTCTTTGAGAGAACCACTGCGACGAGTTGGCGACGTTGAGCATCGTCACCGCAAATCAAGCATCGCTCGACAACATTGCTGGCGAACTTGTGCTTGGAAAACATCAAGAACTGGGCCTTGATCAAAGACACAATCTTGGCTCGATCCTCTGGTAGACCATGCTCGATGACATGCTGGGTGACATAGTTGCCGTATTGGTCGGTGATAAGCTTCGGCCCTTCAGCGTGCAGCTCGGTCAGGATAAACCTCCGCTGGGGCTCCTGGACCTTCTCCAATAGGCGCTGGATGACACGACAGCCGTAAGAGTTTACTGACAAAACGCCGACATTGCCCCTGAAAGCTTCGACAATCTTCTGAATGTGCTGCATTGGAACTCGGTCGATGACTTTTTGGATGACGTGGTTGCCGTTTTGGTCCTTGACTGTCTTGAGGACATCCTTCTCAAGCTCCTTGACCATGGCGGCTTGTTGCTCGGTGAGGGCATGTTCCAACGCCTAGCATAATTAGTATCTGTACGGCATTGATGAGTACATGGGAATTACCTTTTGAACCACTCGGCATGCATACATCTGGTTCGCGAGCTCGAGTACGTGACCCTTCATCTTTCCGACTAGGATCTTCTTCTGGACCTGATCTCCATGCTCGAAGAACTTTTGGATGACGTAGTTGCCAAAGACATCCTGCATCAGCTGCAGCGCGTTCTCCTCAAGCTCCCTGAAGACACTCTCCTTGACTTCACTGTTGGCAGTTTCGAGTTTCTGTTGAATGAAGCGAGAGCCATGTTGATCTCCAGCAAACTCAACGACGTGGTCCTTGATGTCAGTCAACTCCCATCGCTTGCTTTGCTTCTGCTCCCTCTTGAAGTTTGACAGCTCAATGCTCATGGCACCCAGCCCATCGCTCATTTGGTGCTCACGTGGACCCCTTGGTGGCTGCTGTTGGACCGGCATCATTGGAGCCATGGGTGCCATGTTCATGTGTTGCGGTATAGCAGATAGATGCATGCCGTTCAAGCCGTTGGACATAGCCAAGTGGTATGGGTAACTGTTTTGGAGCTGAGCAGCGGCGTAGAGTTGCTGGAACTGTTGCTGATGAAGTTGACTAGGAGGGATGATACGTCTTTCCTGCTGCGCCATCTGGAATCCAACCAACTTACTCTGTAGCTGCGCGACACTGTTAGGATGGGCGAGTGTTTGCTCGCTGCTGTAGGGGTTGAGACGGTCGTACACGGGCGGCGTGTTGATGTGGGAGTAGTATGGGCTTTGACGGACTCCGGTGCCGTTGGGTGTATTCCGACTGTTGTCGATCTGGTAAGAGCGTAGCTGGGCGTACTGGCTGGACTGGGCATTGGCGTAACCTTCGGGGGTATATGTTCCTGGACTTCTGTAGGTGCTGTCCTCTGCTCTCGCAGAAGCTTGCAGGTAAGATGTGTTGCCGAGTAAGTCGTTCATGTCCTGTCCGGGCGTGTAGGACGTAGCGAAGTTGTGGCTGATAGACAACCTGTGCTCCTGATCATGGGTAGGCTTGCCAATGGGTGAAAACGAATCACTTTGAATTGAACCGTTACGTTCGGGGAAGCCGCGACCGGTGGCCATGGAGAAAGACGATGCTTGGCGTGGCTGCTGAGAGAGCCTCGAGAAGGCCTCAAGGGTTTGGTTGTACTGTGCAGGCTCGGCGCCATGGCGAGATGGAGGTAGACTGCCGCTACGCGACGGAGCTCCGCTGGACGATGCAAAGTACTCGGAGTTCGCGACACTCCGTCGGTCTTCGTTGGGAGAATGAACCGAGCCCGTATCGGGCCATGATGTGACTCCGGTATCGGGGCGCACAGGGTTCACGTCTGCTTGGCTGAACCCAAACTTGGTGAAGCCAGTGTTGAGTTCATCGACCTGGCGCGAGGTCAAGTTCGAGGCGCCGGCGTCGGCAAACGGCTTGACGGGTTTTGAAAGGGTGCCCCGCGAGGACTGGAGGTAGCTAGAGGGCGTGCTGTCGCCATATTGCTGAGGCTGCTGCGTTCGTGCAATCGACCGCTTGCGTACTGGTGACACAGCAGAGCTCCGAGCTGGGGTTGTGTTTGCAGACGGCTTCTCGCCCCAGACGCGAGCGGTGGGCCTCCATTCCGTCTCGGAGTCGGCAACAAGGGAGCTGGAGCCCGTCTTGCCCTCGGTGAGGTCAGAGGCACCGGCAAGAGCACTAGTGTCTGCGTGCACGTGTTAGTCCATGGGCAAGCAATGCGAAGCTTCATGTCGCGGCATACCTCGTGGGCGCGCAAATGCACCAAGGGGAGTGTTCCAGATGCTGTTCCCCCATGGGGACGAGTGTGCGGCGCGCTGGGAAGAGTCTGTGCCGTTAAGCGAAACACCGTTGGAGTAGTCGCGCGACAGAGGCTGGAGACTGAGTTAGCATGCATGAATGGGCGGTTTGGGGTGGCGGGGGAGTTGCTACGCACATTGGGCGTCGTGACCGTCATATTAAGACCTGATTGAGCAGATGCAGAGTTCATGTACACAGTACAAAACACGGCCAGGCGTCGTGAGGTAGGGGGCGATTAGACGGCAGAATTTACTGTAGTACAGTCCGATCGAGGCTGCGCGGGGCGGCTTATGTGTGCTTTGATTGAGGGTTGGACTGGGCTCAGGCGTCAGCACAGGCAGGACAGGGCAGGTGCGGGGGGAAGGTAGCACTCACAGCTCTATTACAGCTGGTCTAGTGGTAGAATATGCGAATGGGATGAAGAGAATGTACGAAGAATGTGCGTGTGCGTGTGTACAGAGACGGTGCGGCGGCAGGCTGAGAGAGCGTGTGCGGCGAGAGTCCGAGGGGGGGAGGCGGCGCGGGTTGATATGTGCAGGATGGGTCGCGCCCTTGGGTGTGGCAAGGTAGAAGGTGGTTGCTGGTGCTTCTAACCACTGTGCATACTAATCTACAAGCGATGGGGAAGCGCGCCAGGCGGGGAACGCATACGGGTCGGGAAGGATGCAAGGGCGTCGAGGCAGGAATGCGGAAGAGGGATTATATGTGTGGGCAGGGTCGGACGGAGGGTTTTGGGATTTGCGATTGTGTGTGTGCCTGAAGTTTGGTAGCGGCGCAGACGTGACCAGACGCTGAGGGGGAGAGGTCGACGAGAAGTGCGGCAGCTGTGGGGAGCGAAGACGTCTTTTTGGTGAATATGCGACTGGGCCCTGGCGATGATAGGATCGGCAGCTAAGTTTGGCGTCCGCAGCTTCTGGGGAATACGCTAAACGTCCAGCCAAGGTTGTACCGAAAGGACGGGCTAGAGGACTTTGGGAGCGTGTCGCAGGTAAGGCGTGGAATCCGTGGATGCAAGAGGCCTGCAGACGGGTGGGAGGGTCTACAACAGCGGGCAGGATATCTTCGCCATAAGAACACGCTCGTCGCCGTCCAGGCTGCGCTGTAATGCGCTCGCCGGTGCCAAGGGCGAGTCAGGGTCGATGCGGCAACGCAATCCGTAGCCGATCTTCGCTGGGTGATGCGAGGTATAGCAGCCTGAGACACTTTCCCCTCGCATGGACAAGGAGATTCAGCATTATCTACAAGGGTCGCTGCGTTTCACCACCACCCTACTGCCAGAAGCAGCTATCCTCGTCTGGGTCCGTCGTCTCCCCAAGCGCAGCCTCCAAAGCCGTTAAACGTCGCCGCAGCGGCCAATTGAGCGACGCTCGACTAGTCGGTGGTCCTGAGTCTTGACCCTCTGTCTGCTAGTCGGCCCATGGAAGCCGGAGGGAGGGGAGGAAGGGAGGGAGGGAGGGGAGAGCGGTCCCTGCAGCCCCCCGAGGCACACGAGAGGAGGCCTTGGATTCGTACTGGACTGTAGGTAGTGCACTATTGCTATCATCGTGACTGTCGACAAAGGCACGGCAGATGCATCCACAAGCCACCGTCGCACACTCTACGGATGCCATGACGGTTGACAAAGCCTTGTCCCGCTCGTGACTTGCGACATCCATCCATAATTCTTCTCGTTGGTGCCCCCTGCAATAATTGACGCCTCATAGCCACAGGCTTGCGCCGCGAGGCTGCAAGTTGCATGCGAGGCGTCCATGGAGCTACCTACCTACGTGTCCAGCATTTGTCTTGTGCTGGTGCTGTGGCAGGCACGCGTAGTCGTGGGCGTGGGCGTGCAGGCATAAGCAAACTGGCGAACACTCTCCGCACAAGATGCGTTTCAGTCAGCCTGTAGTTCGTCGTGAGGTCGCTCGACGCCCACACCGCTCCTCACCATGGCCCTGTGGGTGTGGTACAAGCAAGCCACGGACGTCGCCGTCGCCACGAAGCCAGAGGAAGATCCTCTTGGCACCAGGCGACGCGATAATTCCGTGAAACAGACAACCAGGCCAGCTATGCACTGTACATGTGCTATGAGGTCACGCGCCCTGCGGCTAGCAGTGTCTCTATGCTCGCCTCCCAAGACTTGGACTCGGACTGCAACCATGATTGCGACTTTTTGCAAAGACGACATGCAACAGCCTGAGCAGCCAGAGTGTCGCACCCTCACAAGGCACGTACTTGGCATCATGGGAGCAGAGAGGCATCCAACGTCCCGAAGTCTCAGAAACAGGGCCGAACGATCATGTTTCAACGGCTGGGATATGGGCCGGGTGGAGAGGCCAAGAACAGAGTGCCGGCCTGATACGATGCCGTAGGAACTGGCAACATCTAGACTGTCCCCGCCGGAATCCTCCATGCAAACCTGACAAAAATGAAGGCGGCCCGGTCAATGGCTTTGTCGAACGGAGGAGAGACGGCGCTGAGGAGGCTCGAGTTCCATCAACACATGGCGTTCCCTGTGACAGAAGAGCCATGACGCCCGTTAATCTGTCGTTCGATACGCGCGTTGCTGTGGTGCGTGCTATCGTCCAGCATGATCCTGTAGCGCTCCACAGGTCGCGCCAGACGTTCGTCTCAGCCTCGTTGTCAGCTCTCTCCACGCCCCTTGTCACCACGCCTCTCTCAAACACCCCATGTTTCGTGAGCGATGAGCTTAACGCAACATCTCGACAGCCGCAATACTAACCCTCTACCCGTACATAATCTGGGCATGTCTGCTTCTCACAGACTGAGCACGTCTGCGTGCCGGCTCACGCTCCACTCGCGATCAGCCTAGTAGAGTCTCGACCTTTTGCTATACCCTACCCCAGTCCTTCATTATTACCGCCCCTTGCACTGCGATGCACTTTCTCCACACGACGGAATTTGATCTGTTTTGTTTGCATTGCTATTGAAAATTGTTGACTCGATCCTCTTCTCCTATCTCGCTGGCTGTCACTCTGTCAGTAGGTAGTCAGGTGGTCTGCAGCCGTTCTATACTGTAGACGACACGGCATCACGACCTTGAGCCATTGGTCTCCTTTTGTGTGATGGCACACTGGCTGGCGCGTAGGGCCAAATATAGGAAAGAGAAGGGTGACCTGTTCCTGCCGACTTTATTGCGGCTAGGGCCGAACGGGCCTAAGGCAAGCGGCTTGCTCGCCTGTTGTGTCTAGTGTGTCTTAGCGTCCTATAGTTTGTTTGTCTGATTCGCGGACACAGTGGTACCTGCATCGGGGAGTTGAGCCAAGCTTAGGGTCGCGCCTTCGTCAACATAACGTTGGGGAAGGAACTTAAGGCTCTTCTCCTGTCTTCCCGTCCACCACTTTCTTTGCAGATTATTGCTTCACTCTTTCAGCGATATCTCGCGTTCCATTCTTTCCGACCCTGTGTCTCTCGTTCCTTATCTCTACGCTGCGAAAACGAAGGTGCCAAAACAAAGGTGTGTACCCGCCCACGCATTCCCGCCAATATATCCGACACATTCCGAACATTCACACTACGCCATAACACCGCACCACCGGCAACCATAGCTGAGCAATGGAGACTAATATGCGCATAGCAAACACACTCCTTAATCAATACTACAAGCACCAGAGTACTCTGCACGCCATCGATACGCCGTAACGAAACACTATAACCAATATCATAATGATGAACATCAACCTTCTCAAGCGTGACGACGACGAGAACATGGGACCCACACATCTCGCCCTTGTCGCTTTCCTTCTGATGATGGTCCTGCTTTGCCTGCTGTGCATCGGAGGCCTCATATTCCTACGCAGCCTCCGCAAAGGCAGGAAGTTTGCAGAGACGGAACCAGAACTACCCATCTACGAAAAACGACAATCAAATCTTAATGGCTTGACCATAACGGCCATGCCATACAAGGGCAGAGAGTCCGTCATCACCTACTCAGAGAAGCAGGGCCTGATGGACAGCCCACCCACCAGCCCGGTTCCCGAGATCCGCATCACATTCCCCGACGAGGTTGACGAGTCTGGCAAGCAGCAATCAGGCCGCGTAGTCGTAGTGCGTGTTGGAGACCACAGCGTTGGACTGGAGCCCGTAAACGACAACCTACCCCCATACCAGCGCGACGCATCAGATCGCTTCGACTCGCTCGACCTGGATCGCATTGGTGGACTCAAGGAGAAGAACGACAAGTACTACTCATAAACACCTCCATACCATGTCAACCCCCGGCCAGACCCTTGGTACAAACGAGTTTGGCAGCCCGGGATTTCCAGCCATTTGGCTACGACCGACTTATTCTCGATGACGGCTTTATCACGCTGATTGCCAGCCCCTACAACATCCTGCCGAAGACATGGAACAACCGGCTACGGCGTACCATTTCTGTATATTCTCGGAGCTGAATGGCCTATTTGCTGTATACCCTGATTGGTCATCTCTTCAACGAGGTTGTTGTGCCTCTTACATAACTCTTATTCAATAATTTATGATATCTCAAACTCTCTCTAGCGTCTGTGTAGAACAGCACGAGAGCCAATACAACCTTTTGTCAACGTCCGATCTGTGCACTTGAAAGTGAAATTGAAGCAAAGGGAATAACGAGTATGACGTATGCTTTGCATATGACTATCTTGAAGCGTCCCAACTTTTTCCCCTGTCATCTTGACAAGCTTCAAACAGTCGAGCGGCTTCTCAGGAAACTTTTGACTTGCCCTGCGGCGCGCATCCCAGTGCCTTAGCATGACATCGGCGGCTCGGCGAATACCGCGATCCACTTTTGGAGCCGTGGATGCTCGCGACAGATCCTCACTTTAAACCGCGCACCAAGTTTCTTCCATGGATTCCGTCGTTCCTTGAGGACCTTTTACGCCCTCCAAACACTATAAATTCATTAATTGACGTGTCTCTTTGCCGAATTGGTATCACCGCGGGGGACTGTCATTGCCGACCACTATGGAACCGCGCGAGGTCTTCACGCCGCTGTCTGACATTACCGGCCAGACTGGCACCCCTAAAGCTCGAAAGCCCAAGGAACTGCCGCAGCAACAACAGCCGCAGCAACAGCCACGGACTGTTGTCCACGATCCGGATAAGGCTAAGAGGCTGGGAACGGTGCACTTCAAAGCAACTCATAGCATCATTGTTGCTTTTTTTACCTTTGTATTGTACGCCTATATCGCACTCCACACGTTAGGCATTGACGACTGACCACGTACAGAATACTTCACGTTCTCGGCATATATCTCTTCACCAGTGGTTTCCTTCTTACGCGATTGGTCCTTGACCACAACTCACAATGCGGGACTCCTCCGATCGACTCTGCAGACTTGTATACAGCGGGCAATGCCGAGAAGGGGTGCTGGCACCCGAAGACGTTCAGTAAAGCCGTCGTCATTATTGTTGATGCCCTCAGATATGACTTTACTGTACCCTTTGAGGCTCAATTCGATTCTACCGATCTAGCAGCGGCCGCCGCGAACCCATCCCAAGCGCCTCCAGTCGCCCCACGCCATTTCCACAACGCGTTTCCAGTCTTGTACGAGACGGCTAAGAACCAGCCAGAGAACGCGTTCCTGTTGCCGTTTATCGCAGATCCACCCACTGCCACGATGCAGCGGTTGAAGGGGCTTACAACAGGCACTCTGCCCACGTTCATTGACGTTGGCAGCAACTTTGCGGGCCAAGCCATCGACGAGGACAACTTGGTCGGACAGCTGAAAAATGCAAGCAAGCGCGTTGTCCATCTTGGAGACGACACATGGCATGCGCTTTTCCCGGACTACTTCGAGCCAAATCTCACACACGCATATGATTCGTTCAACGTCTGGGATCTGCACACGGTGGATAACGGGGTCACTGAGCACATCTTCCCCCTCTTGAAAGCTGAGAATGCAAGCAAGTGGGATGTCATCTTCGGCCACTACCTGGGTGTCGATCATGCTGGGCATCGCTACGGCCCCGACCACCCTGCCATGACCGCGAAACTGAACCAGATGGACGATGTCTTCCGGCGCATGATTGAAGAGGTGGATGATGACACTCTTCTGGTGGTCATGGGCGATCACGGCATGGACGCCAAGGGCGATCACGGAGGAGAATCAGACGATGAGATTCAGGCTGCGTTGTGGATGTACTCAAAGAAGGGGGTGTTTGGAAGGAGCGATCCTGCATATGTTACGCCACCCAGAAACGCCCACATTCGCCCGGTCGGTCAGATTGACCTTGTCCCGACATTGTCACTCCTGCTGGGCATGCCTATACCCTTCAATAACCTCGGAAAGCCGATTGAAGAAGCGTTTATTGGAAAGAGCGGAGACGATTTCAACAATCTGGCGACGGTCAACCGTTTGACGGCCGCACAGATCCACACATACCAGCATGAGTATGCAAAGGTTCGCGGTATCGCAGACAGCTCTCGAGCTTCCTCACTCGCACTCTGGGCAGGTGCAAACGACGTATGGAACTCTCTTAGCAAGTCCAAAGCTGACAGCAAAGAAATGCGTCAAGTCTACGAGGCCTTTGGGGCTTACCAACGCGACACGCTCCGCATCTGTCGCGATCTCTGGGCTAGATTTGACATTCCACGAATGGTCAGTGGCGTCACGATCCTGGCTTCCAGTCTGCTCGTTCTTGCCATGTACGCTCGAATCATCAATGGTGATCGCGGTGATATTACACCCATCTTCTTCACGCGAGGCGCTATAGGCCTCGTTCTTGGAGGCATCTTTGGTGTCGGTCTCACCGTATTTATGCCAGAAGATGCCAGGTCCCACGTTCTCATCGTCTCTGCCGCACTCAGTGGCATCGTTGGTTGCGCGTCCACTTTCTGGTCTCTCAAGTTTCGTCTCATGTCTCCTATCCCGAACAGCGTTTGGGGCTGGACCAGTCTTACTTTTACACTCGCCCTCTCTGGAGGATTTGCCGCGAATTCTTTCACTATCTGGGAAGACGAAATTCTCCTGCACTTCCTGACCACTTTCAGTGTTCTTGCACTTATTTCATCTCTCCGCCAGAGGCGCGTTGCAGATCGGACCTTGGGTGCATACCACTCCATCCTATTCACCGTCTTGCTTAGAGTTGCCAGCTTCTCAAGACTATGCAGGGAAGAGCAGATGCCATACTGCAAGTCTACCTACTACGCTTCCGCCCTCTCGACCACGTCTGCAGGATGGCAGCTGGCTATTCCCGCGGCGGCTGCCATTCTCATTCCTACGTTCATCAAGAGCTATTACGAAGGCACCAAGAGTTACCAACACAACGCGACCCTTTGGATAGGTCTCGCATTGCGCTTTGGCTTGATGCTTTCTGCTGCATACTGGACTCTTGATGCCGCTGATGACGGCAACTGGCTACCGGGCTGGGAGAACATTCTCCAGATTACGAAACGCTTGATCGCACAGATCGTACTTCTAATCAGTCTAGCGTTCGGATACTCGATTTACAACTGGTCAAAGCCCCTCCTCAACGTTATCATCAATAAGGACGGCACGGACGAGCACGGTGCACCGAAAGAAGCAGTGACCGTTCTCGGCTTCGCCAACGTCCATGGCTCGCGCTATGCACTTCTTATCACGATCTGGTACTTAGCTATCGCTGTATTGCAAAAGCCTATGGGAGCTGGCGCGATTGCCATTCTAGTCTGGCAAATTTTCTCTTTATTCGAGATTATCGATACAAACAATCTCCGCCAGTCGCCCATTGGCCCCGTCGTCCTCGGTCTGCTTGGCTCCTTCCACTTCTTCAAGACTGGTCATCAAGCTACGCTTTCCAGCATCCAGTGGGAATCAGCTTTCATCCCGCTTGCTAAGATCCGCTACCCATGGACACCTATTATCGTAATACTCAACACCTTTGGTGCGCAAATTCTCTGCGCCATCGCCGTTCCTTGTCTCGTCCTTTGGAAGGTCAAACCACAGAAGAAGGGTCTGTTGAGTGTCGTAACTAGGGCCATTGCCACACACATTCTCTTCTACGCTACCATTAACCTGGCAACTACCATGTGGGCAGGCCACTTGAGGAGACACTTGATGCTGTACAGGATCTTTAGCCCTAGGTTCATGGTTGGCGCTGTTGTGTTGCTAGTTGTGGACTTTGTCAGTATTGCCATTGCGCTTTGGGGCACGCGAATGAGCATGATAAGTACGGCGGAAGTGTTTGGATTTGGTGGTTGATGATATGGATATATAGAAGGGTTGTGTTTAAAAGCCCCGCCTGGGGAAGAACTGCGTCACCCATTTAAAGCTATGTATACGCATTTTCAGATTCTAGTTGCATATGTTTGCGTCCCATCGGACGTGCACTCTGCAATTTCCATTTCTCCAGATTCTCGGAAATAGTGCTTGTGATGTTTGTCTTTGTGCTGTCACACCGTCCCTTCACCCTCTTCAAAGTCTTACATCCTGTCGCCATTCCCAGCGATTCCCAGCATCCTTCCTGGACCCTGCAATGTAGCTTAGCTCCACTGGTTTTACCGCTCTTTCTGCCCGCATGTTCTCCGCTCTTTCCTCTCATACACAGCCCAGCCTGAGGCCGTGACGTCATACATCGCAACTGCTTCGCCTCAGGTAAAGGCAGCTGCTTGCTCTCCTCCACATAGCTTCGCGACGGTGGTGCGGTGGGTACATAAACCTCACGGGCTTGCCCATCCTTCCTGCTTTCTTCTTCTCTCCACCCACGGCTTTGACCCAACTGGCAGGGTACCTCGTGCAGTACGCTTCTTACGGCTTCGGACCTAGCTGGCTTTGCTACTCAGCACCTCGAAACGACAGATTCTACTGTAGAGAAACAACTTTCTCAAATCGAAAACTGTCGAAAGGTATGTTTGCGAAGCTTGCTGGGTGAGTGGACAGGTGCTAACCGCTGCATAGATTGCACGGCAATACAGACTCTGTCTGTTGATTTTCTTAAGGAAATTGGTTACTTTGGTAACCCAAAGCAAGCAAGGTACGTTATAGTGAGTGAGTGAGAGAAAAGGACGGTTGACTGACTGATGGCGCAGGTTACGCAATACAGATTGATCCTCGGTAATCGAACCTCGAGCTTGAACAGTCCGGTGGCTGCCAACAACCGACGACGACGACGACGACTACGAAACACCTAACGGCAAGATGAGGCCGCGTGTCAAAGATACCTTTGTGGCGCAGGACCTGACCGACGACTCTACGGAAGTCATCCCCGTCATTGGACTGCAAAAGGTGATGAGCCTGAAGGACAGGCTCATCAATCGTTTAAGCCAAACGATTAAAAGAGATGTCACGTTAGAGGAGGACACTATTCATCAGTCAATCAAGATCCACGTCTTCCCCAACCGGAGTTCGCCTCAAGCACCACTCGATGGTGAGACACAGAAACTGTTAAGCACTATGATGGATACTCTGAGTCTCATAGCAAAGCATAAGCAAGGTACGCTCATTTTGATCAGATTCTAAACGTAGCTAAAATGACCAGGGCCTACGTACGATGACGCCTGCGAGGTACTATGGAATGCGATACTCGAATATTCCTATCCTCATATCGATGGTGTTATTGATAGTATGAATCGAATATTTGATACGGAGACTTTTCAAAGTTCGATCGCTAACTTTACCATGCCTCAGCCTGAATCGACTGCGGACGAAGAACTGGGGACGCGGCTCTTGACACTGTGTCAAGATGTCAAAGGATGCGAGTCATCATTGAAGAACATCAACGCCTTGGCTCAGGTCGCCTCCACTATGACAAGGGTAATCATGAACTTGGGCGAGCGTCTCAAGTTCTTTCTACGCAAGGCTCAGATCTCGAACGAGCTATACCAACTCATATGCGAACTTGGATTCCCCGAGCGCATACATAAAACACTGATTAGAGCGGCACGCACATGCAGTAACTTCCTCCATCCTACAATCCATCTTGAACGCGTCTCTTTGTCCAATGGTAGGCCGCTTATGCAACGTGCTGAATTCCCTGACAGTCGAGGAGCATTATCAGCACCCAAGCCAGCACCACCACCTCAAATATCCAATTCTAAACGCATACCATTCCAACAAGCGACATCAGAAGCGTGTTTATCATCTTCGCCCCCAGCTTCTCAACTTCGTGCATCAACTCAACCCTCTTCGCTTGGGCAACCACGCACTACGATGTACTGTGCTGTGATGGAAACGGCTCAGAAATACCTCGCGCAAGAAGACCGCCATCAAACGTTTCTAAGGCTGAAACCGGATACAAAGCAACTCGTAGCACATCTTGTAGGAACACTCTTACGAACAAGGCTTCTACCGGTGGACGTGGAAGCTTGGCAGGCTTTTGGTTTCGTTACCGCAAGCAGTGAGGAAGAAGAGCGACAGCTCGCTGGACTTTACTCGGTTTTGCTCAAGGAAGCCGAAAACCCACAGAAAATCTTTTGTGATCTTCAGCGCGCACTCGAAACCAACACTCTGACTGTGCTGTTTGACAATAATGGATACGGGCACTTTCGACAGATGTTCCCCAAGCTCGAAGCGTTTCTTAGAACTCCACCAGCACAACGCTCCACAGTCTGGCGTCTGAAACAGTTTGTTCTTAACAAGAACGAGACCGAGCCACCAGCGTGGGCTCAGCGCGATTACGGCTTCAAGTTCTGTAAACAAAGAGAAGAAGTGTTGCTCCTCAAAGAGATCTACAACAAGATCTGCAAGAAGATTTCATTGAAAGATCTCCACACTGCGTGCATACATGGCAGGTTATACGAGGCGGCAGTGCAAAAGGGCGTCTTCGTGGATGCAAAGTACAAACGACTCATGCAGAATGACTACCCATCACCATTTCTCGGATACGAAAACGACAAAGGTCTGAAGAACTACCGTGGCTCATTTTTCAAGAAACGCTAGGGCTTGTAGGCCTGCGTGTGGGCTACTACGCTTGGTGCGCTTCTGGATCACCTGCGAACAGGCTTAATTTCCTCTAAATCTCCGATACTTTTGCTTTTTGCGATATCTTTAGCTGGCCTGGCTGGCTCTATAGTTTTTAGGTGGGGCTTTGTTTGTTTCTTTTTGCAACTGGGGACAGGATGATCAGCGGATCAGCATCATGGGCATATGCAGATCACTTTGCTTTCTTTTTATCAATTTCAAAATTTGATCGTCCAAGCACGGACGGGGGATTTGAAACAGCATGCTTATAGGCGGTCTTTGACATGGAAGTCATTATCTCTGATAGCCACTACGAACTCATTAGTTCGCTGGACTTGGGTTTTAGGTTTGGTATGCTTTGTTTTGTTGATAGTCATAGATCGATACAAGTTGTGTTTTGAAATCTCATCTCCTCTAGCATCTGCTGTTAGACTTGTGTTTATATTAATTAGCATGCGTTGGTACATTTGTATATATAAGTGCTCATACTTCTTATGTCCTTTTCTCTCCCTCCCTCCCTTATTCCCAAATTTTCCTTCTTGATCAAAAGAGATGTCTTACTACCACATGTGACTGCACCTAAAATCTCATGGAATACATCAAATGGGAATCCTCGCTCTCGCGTCTTCCCAATATTGCCATCTAAAATCACGATTGCGACTATTCTATGGTACTGCGCATTACCAGCTACCAGAACACTTTTGTATCCTCTTTTATTACTAAAATTGTCGGATCGTGAGTATCGGTAGAGACGTCGGCTGCTGGACACTTCGGCCCGACTTCGGCCCACCTTGCGCAGAGCTTAGGTATACCTTCGTAGCAGCTATGTTCGTAGACAAGAAGAACAATCACCGAACAGAATGCATTACTAGTTATCGTTATTTCCCTTTACGCACTTAGTGCAAAGCCAACCAACAAAAATCGAATTCTGCTATCTTAATGGACCTGTCCTTTGGGACCCAATTCTAAATCAAAACCCATCTGTCACATGTGCTTTCTTGAAAGGGACTGTCGTCAAAATTCATAAAAACCCATTCCACGCCTTTTTCCCCGATGAATAAGAAACTTATAGGCGGCAAGGTTAGGATATTACCTGTATATAAGTCACAAGCACGTACGCCTCTCTTCTTTCTCTATATCTATTGCACATTCGCGATTCTAAACGCGTCGAAATCCTGGCGATATCGTGGGAATAAAATGACATCGCACAAGAGAAAATGTGTTGGAGGTGGGGGGAAGTTGTTCTACTCTACCTAACCTCGTATTCCAAAAACTCTAGGAAAGCTTGCATATATGTGACTTTTGAATATTTGCGCTTTTACTCTTCGTCTTCTGTACGTTGGTAGTTGGTAGTTAAAACACATGGAAGCGGGGGGGAGGGGGTAGTATGTTGTAGGAATAAAACGAAAAGGTAGAATCCATATGTATCTGGGGTGGGGTTCCTATTCTGACTCCTGTGAAAGGCGTGTATATAGGCTGTAAAGAGAAATAGTGTCTAGAGCATGTTATAGTGTGGCTCGTGTAGAGAGAGCGTTGTCGTGGGGCAGGCTTGATAACGTAATCCACTAGTGAGAAAGTGACTTCACGTTGTCTCATGGCTGCATTTGTCGTGATCCTTCTGACATCTATCTCTCTCATACCCTATGTCGAAGCCTGCATTGATGCTTTATATTGCTGCCGTCTGTTACTAGGCTATATCGGCTGCTGAAACTATCAAGACACGTTGTTCTAGCGGATAGAGATTTGACCTTAGAGGAAACTTTTACGTTCATCAAGTCGCGTAAACACAACTAATGTTCTACCTCTACTTAGACTCCTAGGGCCTAATAGATTGATATCCCTACATTACCGATATAACAAACACGAACACAACCAAAAATTAACAAGAAAAGTGTAGATAGCCAGTCCCGTTACAGGAAGGCCATCAAAGCCATACAAAAACAGCGCGCATAGGGAAGACCAAGTTTCTGCGTCGGCCTTCTCAACTGAGGCGAACTGTGGTCTACTTTACTATTTCTGTGGTATCTTCCCCTTTCCTTTGCCAATATATGGCGGAGGTGGAGTAGTTCCCGCTCTCGTTGTTCGATTAACAGCTGGCGAGCTGACTCTAGCGGATGAAGATCCGGTAGCACCCGAGGATACGTTTGCTGGTCTTGGCCGCGCCGACCCGGCAGCGCTACCCGCAAGAGAGGCAGCTCCTAGTCCACCGGACCTCGAAGAGCTTGCCGTTGGCTTAGATGTTGATGGTTTCTTCGATGCCAATTGAGGTTTTGACGCTGCTGCAGTGCCAGGGGTTTTGGAGCCACCTGCACGAGAAGCCGACGGAGCAGTCAACCGAGAACCTGTCGGAGAAGATGTACGGAAACCCGATGGAGACTTCATGAATTCATTGAAAGCTCCCCCTGCACTTATTCTGCTGCTAGCTCCCGAGGACGCACGACTGCTTGGCTGAGAAGGTGGACCAGGGCCTAGACGAGCTTGCCTTGCTCTTTGACCAGTTGCTTTGAAAGTCTCGAAATCTGATGATCTGCCATGACTGGAGCCGTGATATCCACCTGCACTGCCAGTTCGGGATTGTGGACGGGAATTTACAGGAGACTTCAACCCGGAACCTAGCGAAGACGGTTCAGGAGAAATCAATCAAGATCTTAGACTGGAACCTAGCCGGGACTGCACACGGGGACTTGTTGGAGACTGCATAGCAAAGCTCATTGGAGATCGTGAATGGGAGATTGCCGGAGAATATAGAAGGAATAGTGCTGGAGATGCTGATCTGGAGCTCACAGCCTGATCGCCTGTCCTTGTCCTCTTTGGTGAGGGCTTTCACGGTGAACTTCCTGAAGCGCCTTATCCCCCACTTAGACTACCATTGACACCATCGACGGGAATGGGGATACTTGACTAATTGGCATACTCGATGGTTGACTCTCAGTGGAAGGTTGTCTACTGTGTTTTGTCCAGCAGCACGATTGTCAGGCATTAATCCTGAAGCGCCTTGTCCTCCACTAGGACTGCTATGGGTAGGAGCGGGGCCTCTTAACCGAATGGGCATACCTGATGGCTGACTCGATGTGGACCCTTGTCTACTATGTGCATGGTCAGGGACAAAGTTCCGAGGAGGCATCGAGCCTGCAGCGGGACTACGACCTGAGCCACTCCTATGTGGCTGAGTTGGACTACCTAGGGCTTGATAAAGACCTGTATTAGCAGCATCGTGCGAAGACTAAGCTTGAAAAGTCGAAGGTTGAGCTCGAGGCCTTATGGTACCCATACGTGAAGACTCAATTTGAGGTGGCCTGGACTCTTCTTCCGATGCTATAGCACCAGCAAGTCCATACGAAGCTATTTCTCTTTTCTGGCTATTCGCATCTGCGTCAATTTCGCCATGTGCTCATCTTTGTCTCACCCTGTTTTCTTATAAGCTCTTTGGCCTTCTTAATGTCCTTGGACCGCAGATTTGAAATACGACGTGTTTGTTTTCTGTCGTTAGAATCTAGGTTTGTGAAGAAATTCCTCTTCGTGATGAAATGTTCTTGGGCTTTTGCCTTCTCGTTCTAATCTCGTTCTTTATAGTACTGATTAGGATCTTCTACCTTGATACATAACTTGCAGGGTTCTTTCTCGAAGACCGGTTTAATCCTATCGCACGTTTTTGGATTCTGGCATCGAAATGTTCTCGTGCCCCTTGGAACATACTGTTTGGGTGCATATTGTAGCTTCCGGAAACAGTCCACACTATATAGAGAACGTTTGGAGAGCGAAGAGAGAAGTTCATTGATAGTACAAGTCGCTAGAGCCTTCTGGCTTGATAGAATGTATCCGCCTTAGATAAAAGTACTAGCTAGTAGTACCATTCTATAGAAAAGTCTCGAAAGAATAAAAATATATTAAGGGCTTGATGTTGTTTTCGTTATAAAGAAAGGAGACTGCATTAGAAAGACTGGTATATAGGTTCTGAAACAGCAAACGACGTCGAGAATCATTAATATAGTAGATTCACGTGGCTTTTCAAGCTGCAAAACTGATTCAAGTCTACTAACGTGTGACACGATACTTTATATATATTTCTTGAATTACTCTCATAATGAACATCAAGCACACTCTTCGGGCCTGCAAGCGTATAAGAATAACCTAGCGATTCGCCACAAGCATTGTGAAGCCCTTGAAACATGGCAGTGACCCATAATTACACAATGCCAAATTTTTCCATGTCGAGAATTGACCCTCCCGGTCACTCAAGAGACAAAAGCAGCCGGATAACCTCAAAACTAATCTTCACGTCTCCATCCCCAACCCCGCCACAACCCTCAACACCTCCTCTCTCGAAACCAATCCAACAACCGCCCTCTCATACCAATGTATCCCCAACTCCTCCCTCATCTGCGTATCAAACTCCTCTTTAATCCTCCCCAACAACCCCTCATCTACCCTCTCCCCCTTCCCCACCAGCGCCTTCGCCGCCTCCTCCCTCACCTCCTCCCTATTCGTCTTGGGCTCCACAGCAGGCGGCCTATCAGACCCAGTCCACTTATTCCTCAAAAGCCTAGCGAGCGGTTTGCGGGTGCGCGGGTTATCGAAAGCAGTGGCGCCGTTTTTGCACTCGGGCATCCAGAGGGTGGGTAGTTTGGTCGCGGGTTGGGGTTTTTTGAGGAGCGCGAGTTCGCGGTCGTCGGCTGAGTGTGGGGGCGTGGCGAGGACGAGCCAGTCGCCGGATACTTCTGCAATGAGGTTGCCGTCGGAGGTTGTGCGGAGGGGACCGCGGGTGGTGTCCAGGACTGAGGCGTAGTCGGTAAAGAGGTCGGTGAGGCGCTGGGAGTATGGTGGGCGTGATGGGGATGGTGTTGGTGAGAGTTTAATGGAGCGAGTTTCGGTATCGGTGGCGTTTATGGGTGTGATTTTTGGAGAGGTAGGCGTGCTGTTTGTCATATCGTTTGCTGGCACGGGCGTAGGCGCATTTGGTTCATCTTTAGGTACGAAGAGCTCATCGCTTGGGTCTTCGTTTAGAGAGTAGTGATCGCTCATGCTGCCCGGCATCATTTAGATAGGATTATCAAGGGATATACTCTGTGGAAAGTCGTGCGTTTTGATAGAGAGTTGAGGTGGAGCGCAAAAGTAAACGTAGTGACAGCAACCTAGCAAACGTGTGATATTTCGTCATACAAATTCACTTGTCAGAGGTAAGTATGATGTGAGTGGAGTTTTGTAGCCTTAAAGTTTGCCTGTCACGTTGTTGCTTACGGTGAGATAAGTGAGTGTACGAGTGTAAGAAATATACTACACCACCTAGGTACCCTTAGTGCAACCATGGAACCAGCAGCTCGCGTACGTTACCAAAATCGATGATGTACCTGTTGAGTAAAAGTTATCCGGTACCCATGGATCGGTTTTTGGTCGACATGGGGTAGCTCCAGGACTTCGATAATGCGCATGCCTTCACCTTACAGTTGAACTGTTTTAGTAGCGAAACCTTTCACTGCCGACGTCTTATCAGAGACGGGAGTTGAAAAATGCTCAGAGGCCGTACAAAGAGCTCTCAACATAATTTTTCAACAGTTCGTGATGTCATTCCTACCACAGTGGTTGGTCTTTTGCTCGGTACCAAATGTTCTGAATTTCACAAAACAACACCAATGGCCCACATGATTCAACGCTTTCAGCACCCTAATCCTAGATAGTAATGATGAAGCTATTTGCAGCCGTAGTCGTTCTAATGGTTTATGTCGGATCGTGAGTATCGGTAGAGACGTCGGCTGCTGGACACTTCGGCCCGACTTCGGCCCACCTTGCGCAGAGCTTAGGTATACCTTCGTAGCAGCTGTGTTCGTAATAAATCAATCACCATCACCGAACAGAATGCATTCCTAGTTATCGTTATTTCCTTTCAGCACTAGTGCTATAGACCTTCCAACAGTTTACAATATAAAATCCACAAAACTGGATTACTGTTCACTTCACAGCTGCTATCATACCATACTATACTATGCTAAATCTATATTACACCCCACTCCACTCCCCTGCTCCGCCCCGAAATCCAACAAAAAAACTTTTTTCGTATGACGTGGCAGCAGCAGCAGCAGTGGCCTAGATAAAAGATATATACAAAAGACACATAGGAAAGCCAAATAGATACAGTGCACATCGAACCAGTCTAATCGAACCCCTTCGCTTCCAGTTGTAAACTTTACAAAGGAAAAAAAAATCCGAAACATATTATGCACAGTTTAGGCAGTAGGAACAGTGAAAAGTAAATGAAAAAGAACAAAGCGTTTGCAGTCAAGTTTTGTAAAAAGAAGAAAAGAAGAAACAAGCAGAGAGAGGAGAGAAGAATGGCAACCCCCTCCCTCAAGCCCTCACATCCTTGAAATCACCCAACCCCCCTCAATAAGGCGCCTTCCCCACAACCTCGCCGCCTTCACCCTCCTCATCCTCATCCCCCACCCCAATACTATCCAAAAAGCCCGAGAAATCGGGCTTACTTCCCAACGACGACTTGATCTCACTTCCCCTCCTTCTCCGATCCCCACTACGTCCCCTACTAACACCACTCTTGATGCTCCTCGATTTGTTCGCCGCACTGCCATTCGGCGCAGTTTTGGGTCTTGCAAAATCACGCGTGTCGCTGTGGCCATTTGTGAAGTCCTCTGGGATTGGCGGTACAGGGGGTAGGTTATCCATGGTGTATGCGCTTTCTCGCGATTGCTGGGCATGCGACATGGACGAGGAGGCGGTTAGCGGTCGTGGGGTGGATATAGCGGCGGGTGTGGTAGGTGAGTCGGCGGAGTTGGGGAGTTGTTGTGATTCGGTGGGGTTTGTTGTAATAAATGAAGCGTCGGATAGAGAATGCACACTGATGAGCGAGTCGGAGGTTGTAGAGGCATGGTCGGAAGAGGACTCATGGTGGCGGAATGACGGGGCTCGTTGCGAGTAACCCGTTCGAGGTGCTCCGCCATGGGATGTGGATAGTGCGCGTTTGAGGTCATCGACACGAACGGTTGAGCGCAGAGACGAAGAACTATTTGGCGTTGCGCCGGGGCTGCGACTTCGGTTTGGAGACGACAGACGTCCTACTAGGCCGTAAGCGGCAGAGCGTGGCTTGCTCGCAGCGCGTCGTGGGCTCGGGATTGGCGAGTTGGCACCGCTGTCAAGGTTGCCATTCGGGATGTTGACGCCGAGAAAGTTATTCTTTGTGTAGTGGGTCCCGGATCTTGACCCGGTCATAGACGCAGAGGAGGAGTCTTTGGTGTGAGCGGCGAGGCAAACATCGCGAGTCCAGTCCGCCAGAAGATCCTCTCGAACCTTGAAAGGGAGCTCGGGAGCATTCTTGTGGCTAGCAGGCTGCACAGGCTGATGGATCGTAGGGATCGACGAAGAAATTTGCATCGTATGTGGAGGAGATCCGGGAGGGGAAGAGGGAGGGGAATACAAGGAAGTCGAATAACCTTCCGATATCTTCTCAACCAGAGCTTCTCGGTTATCAAAGGGCCTAAGGGCTTCGCTCTGGACAATCTCCGAGGGGACTGCAGCAGGTGTTGGGTGTGGTGTTTCGATCAGGTCAATAGGCATGGGCGGCACACGAACGCTCTTCATCCACAGGCCCTTTTGGTTCCTGCGCGTGATCTCGTTGTGTAGTGCACGGCCAACTGAAGTGACCTCAAAGTCAAGAGTCATGCTGAGTGCCCAAAGGTAACCGTGAACTAAACTTCCCAGGCGCAGCTTAACAGCCGGGTCTTCCACGGCTACAATGTCCTCCTGCAATCGCATAATCATGGGCAATCCAGTTCTTGCCGCATTAACACCGAGTCTGTTGACAAGGGTTGTCAGCAGTAGGTGAAGGAGTAGGTAGTCGGCCTCGGAGTCGATATAGAAGAGGGCATTTTCGTAGACGGCGAGATGTAGGAGAGGCAAGAAGGTATCCTTGCCGCGCCTTGGCACCTTTTCCCTCGCCGAAGCGTTGGACGCCGCACGTCTTGCCAATGAGTTCTTCTCGTGATCCTTCTCCTTGCGCCTGTAATTGTCCACAATCTTTAGGTCCTCCTTATCCTTTTCAGTGTCCAGCCAGGTCACCAAAGCATCAACGTAGGCTTTCCTGACTTGGCCGCTCGGGTCACGCAACAACCACTGTGTGCCTTCCCAAACGCTCACTCCGACTTTGCTTCGAGAAACAGAGGCGGTAGAGCCGTCTGGTCTCCGCGCATTCGCCGTCTTTATGATGGCCTTGACTGCTTCAAGAGCAGTGATGCGTGCAGTTTCGAACGAGAAGAATCGGTCAACGTGTGTCTTCTCTTGCATGCTTACTGAGTCGGCCACGGCCTCGACAGCACCCTCAGGGTTCTGTATCGCCTCAGCGGTTGTAGAGACACTTGAGAGGCGCGACGGCTTCAGTCGGCTAAGAATTGCCTCGACCATGTCGGAGATCTGGTCGGTGTAGTATACGTGTGTTGCAAGGTCGGCCATGCATTTCTGCACAGTGTCCAAGAGTTGCAGCCTGGCTTCCGAGGGCTTGTTTACAACCTCCATGACCACGCCAGCCAAATTGTTCGTCATAGCCTGGTCGCCTGCCTCTTTCTCTGACATGACCGACGTTGTTTGCTGGTGATGTGGCGTAATGTTGGATCCTGGTCCTCCAAGTTGCAGGAGTAGTAGCGAGTGGGAGATTAAGCCAACCAGGACATCCATAACACTGAGTCCGATGAAGTTGATTGTCGAAGCGAGCAGGTAGTCAATGACTGTGGCGAGGAGCAATTGGCGTTCGAGGTCCTCCTCGACGATTGGGCTTCGTACCAGGGCTTCGACGGCCCCTACCAGCACTGTGTAGCGGTCCTGGACAGGCACCCAAGCACATATCATGGCCATGAGTGTAGTGGCCCAATGGCTCGCTTCGCTCGGCGGCATTCCCTCTGGGCTCTTGACATGTAACGTGATGAACTGCAGCACGGCTGTTGTCGCAAGCCGGAGCTGGCCCCTGTTTACGCCCTGGAAGATGCTCCGCAGCGCGTGCAGCGCCAACACGCCAACCTCCTCCTCGGCCAACTTGTCTGCATCTTCCGTTGTGCCAGAAGCGGCAACGGGGTCTCCATCGTCATCGTCGGTCCGGGCGGTAGACACGCTCTGCCGCCGACGCGACGCGAGCTCCTTCTCGTGGTCGCCCTTTGCGGCTTCCCGTGCTTCCAAGCGCTTAAGGTATGCGCCGCTCTCCGAGTGTACGTTGAGGAGGATGACGGGTATGACGACAGCCAGTTGCCGACCCGTCTCGGAACCAAGCGACTCGGATGAGGCAACTGCATTCAGGGCCTGCAACCCCGCCTTGCGGTATCGGATGGCGACGGGCCAGCTGACGGGTGCCTTGGCTGTCTTGACGGCGTCCTTTGAGGCAAACTGGGCGTACAGCTGCACAATTTCCTCGTACTTTTTGATGTAGTCCTGGTCGGCGGCCAGGGCGGCGGGCTCCTGGTGGGCGCATAGAGCCTCAAAGGTCGGCACAGATTCCTCCACCATGGTGACATCGTTGGAGTTGAGGATGGTGCGCAGGATATGCAGCACCGCGCCCGCATACAGCGGGAGGTCGCGCGGGCACTTTTCGATGAGGGCCTTGACTATTTGCAGCGTGACCTGGATGTTGCCTGTCCGGACCTTCCACACATCTTTTGTGGCGCGCTTGTCGAGGAAGTCGACGACCTTTTGCAGCTTACTGCGGCGCGTGCTCGCATAGTAGAGGAGGTAGCTCAGCTCGCTCGAGTTTGCCTTTGCGTCGGCATTGTTCTTCTGCACCTTCGGGTAGCACTTGAGGACCAGGACCTGGTGCTTAGGGCGACAGGCCTGGCGCGCGGCGTTCATTGAAACTCAAGGGGGGAGGGCGACGTTGCGGGCTTCGAGGCGACGTAAGCGTGCAGCGAGTGGAATAACGATGCAAGGCAGCCTGGGACACGGCTGCGGCGACAGCGACGGCGACGGCGGGGTGCGGGATGATGATTAGGATATTAAAGGAATTGGATGAGCCGCGTTCTTTCAGCCTCGTTGCATTGTTCAGGGTCAAGAGTCACGGGCAGGCATCTACTGCGGACGGGCGCGGAGAGGGGAGAATAGTCTAGCACAACAAGGTGTGGGTGTGGGTACAGATGCATGTCCGGCCGCATCCAGGTCCGTCCAGCGACCCAGAAATGTGGTCACTGCCCAAACTTGTGTCCCGTCAGCCCTAACCACCACCCCAAGCCCCATCGAGTGCCCCCAAACATAGTCTGCACTCTTAGTTTAGTGCCAAAACCCACCGTCATCATTGCTGCCAAAACCCCCCTTCACTACATATACGCCTGAAACGAGCCAGTCGTGTGGCACGCGAGCGGTGCACTGCCGTCAAACGCGCTTAGCTAGACTACTTGCATTTATTCTTCTTCTTATTGTACATTTACATCTTCTACACAAGACCACAGCAGCCCCTGGATCCTAATGCCTCCTGGTCTTTCCGCGCCGATGCCTCCACGGCTCGCTACCTTCCTTTGGTACCGTTACAGGCTCATACCTGATGAGCGGCTGCTGAAGCGCTTCTTCTGTGTCTGGCACCAAGAACTTGTCCGTCTCTGCGTCTCTTGCCAACCACTTCTTCTCCTCGCCACCATACGTCACATCCCCACCACTAGCATATTTCATCCGAGCCTGCACCTTGGGAAGCCCCGTGTTTTGCGAGTAGTTCAGATTGCCCGTCTCCATTAGTTGCTGACGCATGACCTTTGGCAGCATGGCTTGTTGGCCCTTTTCGATTGACATCTCCACTGAGCGCTTCACTGTAAACAGCCGCTTCGTATATTCCGTTTTGGTCTGATTCTTGGTCGGCATCGCCATGACCCACTGCACGATACGTCCATCACTGACCGGGTCGACCAGGTAATATGCTCCTGCAGGCATCGACTTGAGAATAAAGTCCGGTCGTAGATGCGGGAAACGGGCGTGTACCCACGGCCAGACTTCAGGATCGCCTGCCCGGATTCTCTCCTCCTTGGTGAGCTTTGAATTCTGCATTCGTATGCGCATCTCGACAGGGCAGCCATTCTCAAGAAATTGGTATGCGCGATCCATGCACATCCTGACATAGTCCGGTGGGGACGCTATGGTGAATATGACGACTTTTAGAGGTCCTAGGTTGTTGAACTTGTTCATCGCTGTTGCGTGCTTGATGGGAACGCTGTGGGTATGGCTTTTCAAGAGAGCCATGTTCCGATATTCCTCAATTATTTCCGGGTCTGCTCGTATCTTCGGTATCGTCTTCTTCTCCATACCTTTCAAACAATAGAGCAACTGTCCATCTCGCATGTGCTTATTGTACAGCGTCTTCAACGAGATATTTTCCGCTATCAGCTTGTGGTCATTCAAGTTCTTCTTGGCCTCGTATAGATTGATGCGGTGCGTCGAATCTTCTCTTGGTGACGCTTTTTGCACGTCGTATCTGTCAAAAGTAAGGACCTTGTGTTGTCCAAGCACCGTTAGGGACCGAGCAGTTTTGTAGAGATTGAGCGCACGGCGTTGCTCTACGCATTGCGAAGGACGGGCGGCGCAGACTGCATATTGCGGGCGATGAAACGTTTGTAGGGACTTGAGCGAGATTCTAATCGGCGGTAAGAGGAGCGATCGAAACTCGACGGTCGATAGGCGTATGGCTGGTGACATTGCGGTGCCTGCGGTGCCTTCGATGTGATTCGAACTTGGTGATCACTTTTTTTGGATGAGGCCGCAACCGCAACGCTAGCCTTTTGTGGGCTAGTCTGGCACGGGCACACCTACTTATGTACCCTTGCCCGCAGACAAACAGCAACTAAATCTCATCCATCGGGACACCGTCAATCTTCATTTGCTATAACACCATCCATACACACCAAGGTTCAATCATTCTACATATACAATGGAAGCCGGCAAATCTCTACCTACTTCCACACCGGCGGCGAAAACAAGGGCCCAGTCTCATCGCTGCTTCGATACTGCATCCCACTCCCAAGTGGGAAAACCTCTTCCCAATTAATTCCTGTGCTGAAGTCTGCCCACACCTGGTTGTTCCAGGCTGCATGTCCGAAGCCATTAATAGATTCCAAGGGCTGCGAGGTGTACTCTGTTGGATGGTCAATGACCGGAACGTTCAAGATATCAGAGGGCGGTTGTGGAACCGGGAAAGATGACCCCTGGGCCAATAATGTGGGTACAAGTGCCGAGGTGGCTTGATGCGAGCTGCTTGTTGAGCTACCGCTAGCACGTCGCTCTGTGTTGAGGCTCTGTATGCTCGGCGGTTGCGCTTGGTTTAGCAGTTCATGTTCGCAGCGGCGGATGATGCCAGCTACGCGTTGCAAAAGCTCTTGCTCGACCGAGTTGGGTACATTTCCAGCTTCAATGAGTAGCTCCTCCTGCACACGACGAAGTAGGTCTCGACGAAAGCGTCGGGATGCTTCGCTCGGCGAGTCGCAATCATAGACTAACACGCGTAAGCAGCTTGTACATTTATTGGCTGTATAGACGTGACTCACAGGGCGACGGAATGTCCGCAACAGGAACATCTGGAAATAGTACCAAGTACACTTCCCTCCATTTGTCCTCCTCCAACCTCGAGCCAGTCGCACGTTTCCTCAGCGTCCTCATCGTCTCTCTATCAATTCCTTCGATGTTTTGTGGCGGAGATACTTCGCATTCCCTCGAACGCACATGGATTAATTGTTCCTTATCCGATTCGAATGTCGCATAGCAAATTGGACAAACAATTGGTTGCGAATGCGATCGGTACAGATGCTCTTTCATCCTATGTACGGTAGCCCAGCCAGGTCCGGGACATGTACGTCTGCTCCGATAGCGGTCTGGATCGTGTTTGTAGTATGGACACGCAAACCGTGCACCGGTTTCAGATCCATCGATAGTAACCCCAGATCCACGGCGGCGTTTGTTTGGCCCATCTTCATCTTCGTCTTCGGGCGGCGGAGTTCCTTGCTGACGGAAATTGCGTTTGGATCCGGTGGAAACTGACGTTTTGCGACTGCTTTGCCCTGACGTTGATGCAGCTCCAGCCCGGCTGTGTGCGCTGCTGCTGCTGCTCCCGGCGCACTGATTGTAAGCCGCCTGTCGCAGACTGACTTCAATCTTTCTCATAATCAAATCGATAATCTTAAAGGTGGACATTGGGTGTTGAGCAGATGGAAGCTCCTTTTCATGCCCCTCATCGTCGCTGATATCTGTGCTTGTGTACATATCGCAGCTGCTTGTGGACGAAAGTGAAGTGATGGATAGCACACGTTGATCCGGCCGGCGAGACGGGAAGTTATCATCTATCCATTTCTCTATATCTTCCTCTTGGGATGGTGTCTGGTTTTCTAGGTTTTCCCCGTGTGGAGAACTGAGAACTGTCTCCAATACAACAGTGACGTCCGGCTCAGACTGTGGAGTGGTCCGACTCGTAAGAGCTTCGGCAGGGTTACGGGTGATAATTTGGCGATCGGGTAACCATGATCTATAGAAGCTGTTGTATCTTTTGCAGGAGGTGCTATTATTGTTGACGAGAATGCTCGGCACGCATGAAAGGGGCGTGGCAAGATTGTCTGTTGTAATGTCAGCGACCTGAGCGCTGGGTGCACCCAGTGGAAGGCATGCCCTGTTCCAACCAATTCATTTCCAAGGGCGAGAGAGAATCAAGGTCGCTGTTATACCCAGAATCACGGGTCCTTGATGATGACAACGAATCTCTTCTGCATGGCTGATTGTTCATGCTCAGCTTCGGAAGGCTGGTTTGCGCATATGTGATTGACGTTAGGGCCTCCATTGCGCAAGGTGGTAGCAGGTAGAACTGTTATCGCAATTGCTCGAACTTGCAATTTGAATAACAAGGTGCAGAGCAGAGGGGAAGAGGCGACATCGTTGTTAAGTGGCATTAAAAGGCTGATGCCTAAGAGGCCGTCATGAGCATTGCAACCCAATTGCGCGAATGCGCAAATTTGGGATCGAGTAGCAGCTGAAGCTTCCCGTGATATGTCATCAGCCGTGTACCAGGCACATGGCACGGATTTCCCAATCGCCTCTGTACGTCCCGCGCCGGGGTGGCTGAGTAGTATTGGAGAGTGAGTTGTCGTTGCACACCGGTGGCATACAAGGGGGCATCGACCAATGAACCACGTGGAGGATGAACGCTAGTAACGAATCGGAATGTGGGGCTAGATTCACCTTATTCATCTATCAAATGTAAAAACTCGCTTTCTCAAGGTCAGCTGCACAGCCGAGGTAGTCCGCCAAATATCCTATCCAGCTACATACTATACATAGATCATCCCACTGCAGATCTGGTGGATATCTGCAGTGCCCTACTTTGCCTTGTTCATGGCAAAATATACACGCTTAGAAACCTTCCGCTAGTAAGTGATGACCGAAAAGCCTGGAGCCTGGAACAGCCCAACGATCTTGTGTCATCATCTTTACCCTACCCATCAAGGCCTTGTCCTTCTCGACTTCCTCCACCACTTGTGTAATATGTTGCACGTACCTAAGATGCGCCACATCCGCACGCATGCTGTGTACATGCTCTGTACTCTCATACTACGGAACTTTTCCCGAGAGTCGTTGTAATATGCCAGGACGTCGAGTTCGCATTTGAGAAGCACGCCGAGTGTTACAGCTGCTCCATAGTCAAGCAGCAGTTCCATGAGTTCCCAGCAAGGATAGTGTATTGCTGTCTCGAAACAAGCCTGAACATCTTGAGGACGCCAGATTTGATTTGCCACAAGTTGCTGAACAAGCTGGATCTGGTTGAACTTACAGATGTTGACCAACACCTTTTTGCTGTTATGCCAACCCTTGTAATGAGTCTCGTGACATACGAAGCGTATCATGTTTAAGCCATAACAGCCAGAGTGTTCTGAGAGAATCTTGTCAGCACCCAGATCAAAAGAAAACCGGCTCCACTTCTTGCCGAAATTGTAAGGGCGCGTAAGGTTTCGGTCTGACCAAATTTAACTGCAATACACACCGCTGTGTCCAATCGCTTGAGTAAAAAGAAACGAGAGCAGTAATGCTCATCGTAATCTGTGTCCACCATCTCGAGCAGCCGAGATAGCATATATTCCAGACATTCCACAGACCCCATGGCTACTGCCGAAGAAACTGGATCCATATTCACGTATCTAATGGCCTCCTCTTCATGCGGCTGCATATATGTGGTGGATTCCATGCGGCAGGCTGATTTCGCTGGATACAATGCATCAACGTAATACTTCAGCGCAGGTAGACTTCCAACTGCGGCTGCTGTGGCCACTACAGCAAATGGTCCGGACGGTAGATGCATGTCTCCCTTGAAGCTATTCCACTGATCAAGGTAAGCACTGAGCTGATGCTTATATCGCAATCTAGTACCTTCCATGTCGCTAAGAACTTCGACTCGTAGCACTTCAGAGACCATGTTTTCGACGAAAATCGACGTCAAGTAGCCTTCTGTGTAACGCATGTGGCTAAGCACGTATCGCTGATGGTACTGTTGAAGGATGTCATGGAGTTGATCGTTCCTCATGTACTTCTTACGCCAAGGTGACTTGAGCTCATGGTGGACATGATGAGGCAGTAGATTGATGATCTCATACTCGACTAGGTCTCGAATTTGGTGACAAACTTCGCGCATGTACCATGTGTTGACTGTGCCGGCTACTTTAAAGACATCTCCGACAGTTTTCTGTAGTTGTTCTGTCGGCAGATCGAGTAACTAGGTCCGAGGTGTCATACTAGTCGATAACGAGTAAGGGAGAGGTAGTTGAAGAAGGTCCAGAACCTCGTTTGGTGTGATATGGTTGATGGAGGAAGAAAACGTAGTGATAGAGGAGGGGGCAGGACCAGGTAAACAAAGGCGCACCTGCATTGTCAATTCACCGCACGAGCCGCTAGTCCCCATTCAAATGAAGCTGCAACAAGTGAATAGATTGGAAAGAATTTGGGTGAAACTACCGGCGAACAATTCCTCTCACTCGATGCTGGAACCCAGTGAGTGTACGTGAATAGTGAATCATCGCTTAAGAGGATGTCAGCTCCTCAAGCTTCAACATTCAAATCGCTACAACAGCGGGTGAGGGGAAGAAGAAACAAGGAAAGGAAACAACCTCATAACAGATAATCAAGTGCCTCGTGTATTTTCCCAAGCAGGCTTGTCCGTAGACGAAAGCTGCATACTCCAGACACCATACAAACATACATGACGATTTGAGATCGAAAGAAGAAGACTGGGAAAATGGGTTCTTAGCTGAGAAAGGTATCCTCGAGGCAATACCAGAATTCCCTTTTCATCCCAATACAGCCATCGTAAAATGGCGCAGACTTCAAAGATGGTTGCCCTCTCATGTCCAAACGCCCAATTGCCGGCTACCCAATTTCCCCATGTCGCATGGCCCGATACCAGTGTGCCTTACACAGACCTAAACACCACTAAGTACTCCATCCCCTCCAAAAATTAATACGCACTCGGCCCAAGAGAAAAACAGGAATGCCTACCTGTTACCCCGGCGCCCTGGCAGCGGGGGCGGTACCAACGGGTTGCCATAGGCATCTGTGCCGAGCGCTGCCCGACAGTCGGGGCAGTACCATTTGGCTCGGCGGGACGGGATATCTTCCTCGGTCATATTCATGCAAGGAAGATGAAACCATTCCTTGTCGCACTGTGAACCGTCAGTAGGAGTGTCGCCGTGGGAGAGGCGGCAGACTCACGTGATTGTCGCACGATATCATCGGCCCATAACTGACATCATCGCAGATGCAGTATTTGGGCTCGTTGGGGTCAATATCGTCTGCCACTTCTTCCACCTCCTCTGCCCTCTTTTTCTTCTTGTTTTTGCTGCCTTGGGCGCGCTTGACGTTGGTGACAGTTTTCTGGCCATCCTCGGCTGCAGTCACCTCGCCCTTCGGCGGCGGCTTTCTACGTGAGCTTGACCGAGTGGGCGCTGGTTGCGGGGGTACTGTGAGCGCAGATATAGGTTGGCTAAAGACACTATGACGACGAGTTTCGCGGATACTCCTACCTTGTTCGTTTGGCTTGGGCTCCTCGCTTTGCGCTTTGGGTGTTGGCAAATGGCTGCGTGGCAAATGGCTGCGTGTGGCGTGAAGATGTGGTTGAGGTTGCGCAGGTGTCTCGGGAGCAGGTTCAGGAATAGGTGTAGGTGTCTTTGAGGACTTGGCAGGCTGCATGGGAGCCACAGGTGGACTAGGGGCCTTAGGCACGATGGACTCACGGCGCGGCCTAGTCGCAGCTGCTGTCGTGACAACTGGAGCTGATACTGGTGCGGATACCGGAGACGGCGGCGCTTCTGGCACAACAGGCGAGTTCTCGGGCAACTCTGGTGACGTCGTAATTGGCGTAAGCTCGGGGCTCAATTCAGGACTGCGCTCAGGACTTGGCTCCTTGGGTGTGGCCTTGCTGGCTTTTGGAGTACTCGGACCAGCTGGTGCAAGCGGCACTTGCACAGTAGTTTCGTTTGTGGCTGGCTTTGCAGTCTCGGGAAGCGGGACGGGCGTGTTTACCACGGGAGATAATGCAGCAGACGCTGGGGGATCTCGTGGGGTTGAGACAGCAGAGGTGGGAGTCGGTATGGGAGAGGAGACTGCGTTCAATGCTAGAGCAATAGGGTTCGGCCGTGCTCGCTTGGGTTCTGGTGGCCTTGTTGCACTGTCCTGTGTCGCAACCGATGCCTCTCTCATACCGTCGGCGGCACCGTCCAGGTTGGGCGGCGGAGAAGTGTCGCGTTTCCGTTTCTGAGAAGGTCTAGCAGTCGGTCTCTTCTTTTGGCTGGGAGGAGAAGCGACAGTAGAGTTGAAGCTTAGTCCCTGGAGACCTTTGGCAGCCTCCTTGATCTTTTCAGAAGCACCTATGAGTTCCTGGGCATCCTGCATAGCCTTCTGGCGTTGCGACGTGCGATCGAGCTTCCGTCCCTCCTTGGCTGCGATGGGCTTGACGCGAATGCTGAAGGTGCCAGACTCCTCCTTTGTGTCTTCCTCAATCGACTCGCTAGGTGCAGGAGGGGGAGGCGGCGGTGGCGGCGGTGGGTTGGCTGCCTGTGGGCCATGTGGCGCCAACTGTCCCAAGCCAGAGGCTGTCATGATTTGCTGTAGCGTCTCTGGCTCCTCGTCGAGGAAGGGTTCGCCCGTGGCCTCGCATCGGGCCTTTTCCCTCTCATAGTCAGCCTCTGTACGATGCTTCTTCTCAAGCTCGCGGATCATCATGGTCTGGCTGGGAGTCCACACGGCGTTCTTCTTCATCTGCTTCCGCAGCACGGCCATTTCGTACTCGGTCAACTTCTTCCATGGTGCCCACTTGCTGCCCGGTCTGGCATCGGCTGGTGGCGGGGCCAGTTGGGCGAGGGCATTGCTCGTGGATATTCCTGCTATGGAACTGTGGACGTTTGTACCCAGCACGCCAGCAGCGCGTGATCGGCCGCCGGCTGGTCGTGAATGTCTGTCTCTGTCCTTGCGCTTTCTAGGCGAAGCAACGTGGATGGCCGAGGCAGCGTCTGAGTCACCAGAGGAATCCGACTCATAGACCCGTCCACGCGCCCGTGAGTGAGAGGCATTCGTCTTCCGGTGTCGATCTCGCGGGCGCGAGGCACTGGTGCCAAAGTTGAGTCGGAGGTGTGGCGGGCGTTCGTAATTGCGGTTCAAGGCTCGATGTGCGTTGGGGGAGACGGGCGGGGGCGTGGGATCTCGCGATGGCGGCTGGGGCTGGGCTTGCAGCTTCCTCTTGATGACGGTCGAGCGCTGGCTATGGCGCCACGCGACCTCGTAGAGTCGCGAGGCTTCAGTGTAGGAAAATTCTCTCTTGTTTCCGGCATTCCGCAGGTGCTGGGCGATTTGCTTGCGCAGTGCCACCGGATCGGGGCGCTCATGCTCTGGCAGCGTGGGCAGCTTGCCGTACAGGGCCGTCAGCTCGTGCACCTTTTGCACATGTTCTTTGTAGCTGAAGTCGAGGTCGCGAATCAGCGTCAGCGAGCGCGACAGGTCCGAGGGGAAGAATTCAGTATAGTCGAGAAAGTCATTGACCGTCGTCTGGGCGTCTGGATTGGGGGCGGGTTGGGCCATCTCAGGCGCATCGTCGGCTTCAGACATGGCGCATCGCGGGGAGGCAGAGTAGATGGAGGCTTGGGAGGCACGCGTCAGACTCTCCAGCCACGCGTCAACCAGGTGATTGAGGAGACTCAGCGCGAAAGTGAGGATGCTAGTCGCAATATGCGCGGGCGACGATGGGCTGCTGGTGAGAGCTTGTCGCAACGTTGGATGCAGTGAATACGTCGCTAGCCGCTTTGGTCGTTGCCGGTGATCTCCAGGGCTGACAGGAACGCGGCGACAGGCCATGCCCACCAAGGGTAGCATGTCTCCACTCCAACTTCACCCGCACCACCAGCCACACTAGCCGCAGTCGGGAACAGTTTGGACCTTTGTTTGGTAGACGACCATTTGCCTTGTGCCATTGCGCGTCTAACTTTTTGCTTGACAGGATATGGGACGAGGCACAGCATGGCTTGATAAAGTATAGTCAATCGTACATATCTTCTAGAATGGAAGCTGACCTTGCCGTAGTACCTCAGCTACATTGCAGTGATAGATCCAGTCACATTGGAACGCATCGTTTGAGGTAAGCTATCATCTTTCCTGCTATCTTGAAAACAGCCGTCTCATGTTCCACACATGCATCGTGTGCAAAGCTGCAGTGAAATCACGTGTGACCGTGTTTTCTCCACCTGCCGCATGTAAGGCGCCATGTCGTCTCTCACCTTCCTTCTGGTTCAAATAATGACGCTCTCTCTCACCGTCCATCGTGGTTCGTTTGCTCTTGCCCCATCCGTTTGCCTAGGCGCAAGCCCCGCTACACATCCATCTCCCCACGCCTGCTCGCAAACAATCTCCAACCACTCAACTTCCTCATCATGGCTTCCTCGGCTCGTTTAAACCGCCTGAGAAGGCTCATAGAGCCAGACCTTAATGTTCTGCCTGACCGCCCAGCTTCCTCAGACCCCGTCCCTGACTCTGACGATGACGGCCGTGTGCTTCTTGAGCCTACGGCCTCACATGCGCCGGAAAGCAAACCGACTGCACCCAGTAAGGCTGACATGACTACCAAGGCACCTGCTGCAAACACAGACCGCCGTTTCATTTGGGTAAAGGACGCAGAGAGCTCCTTCAACCCAAACCTGGATTCAATGCGACTGACGACCGCTCCCTCTCCTCCTTCTGGCGCTACCAAGCTTCCTGCGATTGATCTCCAATGTGGTGACCTTGCTTCTGCTCGCAATCACTACACACCAATCCAGGCATTGGCCAAGTATCCCTACAAATACTGTAACAAGATTCATATGCAAGATATTGCCTCTGCTTTCTTCGACCAAGGAAAATTTTGGGAACGAGAGTGGGATCTGTAAGTCTCTCTCGCCTTACACAGCTGGTCTCTTCAACTCATATTTGCCAGATACTACGTGTGGGACCTTGAAGCCACCAAGCCCCTCATTCTCGTGCGCGAGACTCAAGTACAGGCTCTACTCGCGGAAATCAACAAGCACCTCAAGCTCGGTCTTTCGATCACTGATCAACAGCGAGAGGAAGGTTTGGTGTTACGCTACCCTGACCATCCACGCTGCTTACCTCGATACCTCGGACGAGCATACTCACGAGAAGACGTCGACACCATGGCCCGCAACGCCCCCGGTGATAACCATCGTGCTGCGGGAGAAGCCTCCCACCCGCCTCTCAAGGAGGGTACTGTAGAAGAGTTCAGAAACATGTTGGAAAAAGCTGCAGAAGCGCAAAAGGCAAAGTCAAAGGCGCACAAGGCAAAGAAGCAGCAAGATCGCTTGGTCAAGAACAAGACGATGGTGGACCAGTTCAAGCGCGCGCAGAGGTATCTCGGTCTCCGCGCAACCCTCCAGGACGGCGTCATGCATGACTTGGCTCCGGCCGTCGATCCTCTCATGCCAACTCCATTTGCCTTTGACCAATCGGTCGTCTTTGTCTGCATCGATGTCGAGTCTTTTGAGAGAGATCACAACAAGATAACCGAGGTTGGCGTTGCTACGCTGGACACGCAAGACTTGGTCGGCGTTGCGCCTGATGTAGATGGTGAAGCTTGGAGGGACCTGATCCAGGCCCGTCACTTTCGCATCAAAGAATACCGACATCTGATCAACCGTGACTTCGTCAATGGATGCCCAGACTCCTTCAGGTTCGGCCAATCGACGGTGATACCCCTCGGAGAAGCGCGCGATCACGTTGCCCGCTGCTTTCGTCCACCCTTTGGGGCCCAGGATGTAGATGCAGACGAGTCTATGGAGTCCACAGAGCCGCGTAGGATCATCTTCCTTGGCCATGACACCATGAGCGACATTGATTATCTGAAGAAGCTCCAGTTCGACCCGAGCAAGGAGAACATTGTCGAGCTCATGGATACTGCAACCATGTACCGAGTTTGGCACAGAGATCAACAATCTACAGGTGAGTTCATGGGATGACTTTAGTCGTAGTTCACACGCTAATGCAGTAACCTACAGGCCTAGGCAAGATCCTGGCTGACCTTGATATCGCCGGCTGGAATCTTCACAATGCTGGCAACGATGCTGTATACACAGTGCAAGCCATGCTTGCAGTTTGCGTCCGTGAGGCCGCCATGCGTGGTACTCAATTGGATGAACTACGAGAGAAGGAACGCGCCACCAGACTCAATTCTGCCCTTGAAGAAGCTGAGCAGAAAGCCCAATGCGATGCCGAGGGTTGGAGCGACCACGAGGCCGATGGGGACGGCGGCGGGCCGGTGCCGCTTGCTGTTAGTGGGATTCCAAACTCTTCGTCCGCGCAGTCCAGGGCTGTTCCACAGTACGACGGTGCATCCGACAGAGGCCCGGAACAGGGTAGAGGTCGCGGCGGAAACTACGGACATGGTCGTAGCCAACGAGGTCTGACAAACAACTCCACAGATGACTACCGTCGTCGCTCTGAGCAGCGAGCTCGCCGTGGCTCCGCGCAAGCTCGGGGAGAAGGCCGTGGCCGATCTCGTGGACGTAGTTCCGGTCGCGGTCGCGGTCGCGGCCAGTCAGACTCGTCTCTGGCTGGAGCCGTTCAGGATCACTGGTGAGCGACTGCTAGAACGGCATTAAGCGTGTACATTCGGTTGTTCTCAATCACACGGCAGATGTTGATGTCATATATACGCTAGGGCTCACATATTCCGGTGAAGGGTGAAGGAGGTTTAATATATTATGACATGATATGATGTACAGGCTTTGTGGCTAGCTGGTAAAAAGCTGGTGAACAACAAAGAATATATTGTCTGAGCCCTGGATGTGTGCGAACATGTTCACACTTGTGCCACGTTTCCTATGAGGCTATGACCTGACTACTGATTTCAGTGGTACACAAATCGATCTCACCCACATCTACCCCTCGATCTTCACACGTCATGGGCCGCGTGAGCAACACGGTATGCAGAGACTTGATATCGGTGTGAGACGCGCCTGTCACCATAATTCTGCCCAGACAGCTCGGCTGCAAGCGCCGACCCGATAGCGCTAACTAACGTTACGAGCGGCCGGGGTTCAACGGGCGATCAACAATTTCTCCACCAGTTCGCTATTTACCAAGCTCGTCCGCCACAACAATGGCGGGACGCTTGTTGACCGCGTTTTCGTCGCGCAGTTTGCTTGGCTTCTGTAGTTCCTCAGCATTGTGCCTCCAAATTGCGTAGTAGACCTGTCATGACGACTTCCTCGACCTGACGCCGCCTACCGAGACCCTTACCGACCCTACCGAGAGCCACAGCCTCGCAATGCACAATTCGACCTCTCCAAATCGCTCGATGAAGTCGCGTGCGCCTGCTGCTTCCAATCGCAATGGTAATGCGACCGAGGGCCACCTCAACCGCGAAAACACAAATGCTTCTAGACGCTCCGCGGGCACAAAGAAGAGCCCATGGTGGAAGACGCGGTTGTTTGGGGGCATGATCAACGACATACGACGGCGAGCACCATTCTACTGGAGTGACTGGGTAGATGCTTGGGACTACCGTGTGGTGCCCGCGACGGTGTATAGTGTATTTTGCGAACATTCTCCCAGCTCTGGCCTTTTCTCTCGACATGTTCGCAAAGACGGACCAGAGCTTTGGTGTCAACGAGGTGCTGTTATCCTCTGTCCTGGCTTCCGTGGTATTTTCGCTTGCGGCCGCTCAGCCTTTGGTTATTGTAGGAGTCACTGGGCCCATCACGGTGTTCAACTACACGGTCTACGATATCATTACACCACGCGGCACAAACTACTTTGCCTTTATGTGTTGGATTGGTATATGGTCGCTGATCTTCCACTGGATCCTGGCCATTACAAACTCGTGCAACGGACTAAGATATGTTACGCGCTTTTCTTGTGACATCTTTGGCTTTTACGTTGCTTTTATATACCTGCAAAAGGGCATACAGGTGTTGACGCGACAATGGGATGCCAGCGATGCGTCTGCATATCTGTCCATTATGATTTCGCTACTCGTTACGGCGGTGGCGTATATTTGTGGCATCGTTGGTCAATCGTCACTGCTTCAACGGCACGTTAGGAAGTTTATCGAAGACTACGGTACACCTCTTACGGTAGTCTTCTTCACGGGGTTTGTTCACATCGGGAAGATGGCGGGTATTGAGTTACTCAAGCTCCCCACATCCAAAGCCTTCTTTCCAACCACAGACCGCGGCTGGTTTATCCACTTCTGGGATATCAACGTGGGCGACGTCTTCCTCGCGATACCGTTTGCAGTTTTACTCACCATCTTATTCTGGTTCGACCACAACGTCTCCAGTCTCATCGCGCAGGGAACAGAGTTTCCGCTACGTAAGCCCGCTGGCTTTCACTGGGATATATTCCTCTTGGGCTGCACTACTGGCGTTGCAGGTCTCCTCGGCATCCCCTTTCCCAATGGCCTCATTCCACAGGCACCTTTCCACACGACATCGCTCTGCGTCACCCGCACCGTCTCCGACACGGACGATGAAGCAAACAAGGGTCACACCCGCCGCATCGTCGACCATGTCGTCGAGCAGCGCGTGTCGAACCTCGCACAGGGCCTCCTCACTCTGGGAACCATGACGGGCCCTCTACTCATCGTACTGCACCTCATTCCCCAAGCCGTGCTCGCAGGCCTCTTCTTCGTCATGGGCATCCAGGCCCTCGAGGCAAACGGCATCACGCTGAAACTCCTTTTTCTCGCTCGCGACAAGCACCTCACGCCCAAGAGTGACCCCCTCATGCGCATTGAACGCCGCTGGGTCATTTGGGCTTTTGTCGGTCTCGAACTAGTTGGCTTTGGCGCTACCTTTGCTATTACGCAAACAATTGCAGCCATTGGCTTTCCAGTGTTTATCTTCTTGTACATTCCTATGCGTACTTGGCTTATGCCGCGATTCTTCACGACGGAGGAATTGGGCATCCTGGATGCGCCGACCGCAAGTCCCTTCACCATGGAGAGTGTGGGTGGGAATCATGGTCAAGTAGTGGAGCCGTTGGGAGCGGGGGGTGGGAATGCGTTGGATGATAGCGACGAGGCTGAGAGGGGCGAACGGGATAATAGCGTTAACGATGATGGCCTGAAGAACGCAGAGCAAGCGAGCAGGCGGAGGAGTAGTTTTAGGACGCCCGAGGGGTTGGAATTAGATAACATCGAGAAGTCGTAGGTGGATAATTTTCGGGTACGAACTGTATAGGTTGGTTGGTTGGTTGGAAATGCTGCGTTTTTGGAAAGTTATCTGATGTGAAACCGAGGTTGGGTTTGCTGTGGCATATTATTATACCATGTTGATTGTCTTTCCAAACGACTTAAGTCGAACGTGACATCTTAGAGTTTCTTATCTCCATGTCCACTTGGACTTCCGTTCCTCGTCCTCTTCCTCCCTTCCTATATCCCTCCACCTACCCCTGAATAGCACCCTCAACAACCTTCATAATTTCCACCAATTCTTCCTCCATCATACTCTTCCCCATAACCTGCACATGGGCCGGTAGCCCCTCGCATTCCTCCGCATCATCTAGTCGTCATTTGTCAGCTTCGATCCGAAATTTCCCAACGATTAAGAGACAAGGTGACTGAACACTTACAAGGCGGTTCATACTTCACCCCCTCCTTCCAAAACTCGCCGTCCAAATCCTTCTGCGCCTTCGCACACGGCAAAATGCCACTAGGGAAATTAAGCAGACTCTGCACAACGGTATACACAGGGACCCCATAAGTATCATGCAGTGGAGCCACAGATTGGTATCCAGGCATAATCACCGCATCAAGCCCCCTCTCTCCCATCTCCTGCTGTCCCTGCATCAGCAAAAACCACTTCCTCACCACCCCAGCTTTCTCCACATTCAGATCCCAAAGTTTATCCAACGACGCCTCCCATCCCTTCAACTCCTCGAAACTGCACGATTTCAGCGACGGCACCGGCGGCTCGCCACTCTCCTGGATAAACCGCATTGGCGTCTTCTTCGGATCCAGCATAAACAATTTCCACGCCAACAGCGCCGTCTGATACAAATCCGGTATCTTCTCATCCAGCAGCACAACCTCATGTCCCCGTTCCTTCAGCCGCGTAGCCGTTGTATGCAGCGTGCGTGCAATCGGCGGATGCAGCGGACGTTCCTTGCAGCCGCGTACAAGACCAAAACGCAGTGGTGTTGTAGAAGGCTGAACAGAACGCCAGGGAACAGGCAGACTATTTTCATCCAACAGCCACGGCTTTGCTCCAATCACCGAATCCATGAAAAGCGCGTAGTCTCTGATAGACCGCCCACACGGCCCTATAACCACGGGTATACTCCCCGGATTGCCCAACCTACCAACTGCCACACCGCCCGCAAACGGTACACGGCCAGCTGTCGGCTTCAAACTGCTGCCGCCGCAGCAAATCACCGGGATGCGATTGGAGCCTGCGACGTCAGTTGCGACGCCCAGGACGCTGCCTTTCATGGCTAGCAGTGCGCCCTCGCCGCCGGTGGAGCCGCCGGCTGTGTGTGAGAGTTTGTGAGGATTTAGCGTGCGACCGAAGATGTTGTTGTGCGAATCTGCTGTCATCATTGTTTGGGGGAGGTTGGTTTTGACGTAGAAGACTGCGCCGAGGGAGTGGAGGATGGTTACTAGGATGCTGTTTGAGGAGGCGGGTGGGTGTGAGAGGAATGATACGTAACCTAGGGTTGCTTGGACACCGCGGACGTTGAAGGAGTCCTGTGGGTTTAGTATGGGTAACGGGTTGGTAGGGGGGTTTGGGGTGGATGGAGATGTGATGTGAAGGAAATTATATGTACCTTCAAACTGATAGGCAACCCATGCAACGGTCCCAGAACCCTCCCCTCCTTCTCATACACATAATCGCACTCCTTTGCTCTTGCGATCGCTTCCTCAAACAAAATTTCAGTCAAACAACTCACACACTGCTGCGCCACCGCCGCTCTCTTACAGAATGCAGTCACGACCTCCACGCTCTTCAACTCCCCTTTTGCCATCTTTTCAACCAACGCAGTTGCATCATAGTTTTCGGTAATGTCCAGCTCTTTTTCTGTTAAGATGCCACATGTGCGCGGCACATCTACCACGGAGATGGGCGAAGTTTCCGTGTATTGGGCTGTTTGGGACGCGGGGAGACGCCAGGAGGGGGGGATTTTGGAGTAGACAGAGGCGCGTTTTGAGGCGGCTAGGGTGTGCCAGTCTGCTATTGGGGGGTGTTGGGTGGATGTGGTGGTCATGATGGGTGGTGGTGTTAGCTTTTGGGGGAGGTATGATGTTGGCAGATGTCAGATGGATGGCAATGTGTGAGTCCTCGATCTATAAGTAATGATTCTGTAGGGAAACAATACGAGATGGTGTGAACTATGCAAGACTATATCATTGTTTTGTCAATGAAGGGTTTTATGGGGAGCCGGCCGAGGATGCCGATCGGAACGAGCATCGGAACATGCAAGTGTGGTGTTGTGGGTATGAACTGGGGTAAGTACAGCGCGGAAATAAGAGAGCCGGAATACGAGGTAGACATATTTCCCATACGTATTAGGCGCTATGTATATCAATATTTGTAGAAAGTTGTCATGACCCACCAAACGTGCAAGAGCCCTTCTCCAGTTTCGAACATGGCGACTCCAGCTTGCCAGAGTTCATGAGATAAAATATTACGATCAGAGCTTTCAGATTAGGAGCATGCAGGCTCAGTCCCTTCTTCTCTCACTCCTCTCATATGGCGATCTACTCCTTGTGACCCTACGTCGGTGATCCCTCGAGCGTGATTGTGATCGCTTCTCGTCAACGTCGCGTTCCCGTCTACGTTCAGGGCGTTTTGAACGGTCGGGGCGGTCTTCACGTCGCTTGTGCTCGCGGCTTCGTGACCGATGCCTACGCCCATCGTCTCGATCACCGTCTCTCCGCCTGTCGCGAGACCGTGATCGTTCCCGGTGTCTATGACGGCGCTCTCGATCTCGTGAATGACTTCTTGATCGATGTCGTCTCCGTCGCTCTCCATCGTCGTCTCTATGTCTTCGCGAACGCTCCTTCTTCTCTCGCTTCTTCGTCTTGGTTTCATCGCCCTCTTCCTTGATCTTCTCTTCGAGCTTATCCTTGACATCTGCCTCATGCACCTTCTTTCCAAGTGGCGTTAGATTCGCGTTGTCCCGTACTGGAACAGGCAGGCCCATGGCAGCCAACATGGCGTCTTCCTCGGTCTCCTTGAGCTTGCGCTTCTCTTCTTTGATGCGCTCTGCCTCGGCTGCCTTGGATTCATCATCGCCTTTTGCATACCAGCTCAGATCGCGACCTTGTTGCCAGCGGCCAACGGGGGCCATGAGCGAGTGGCCCAGGTAGTTTTCGCGGTGCGCATCATTCTTGACGTCTTCCCATTTGAAGTCGGCGCGGCCGCCACTGATGATCGTTAGCCAGCGAAATTACCGAGTAGAACCGTAAGACTTACCGACTTCCTTCTTTACGCACTGTCTGTACAAGATCCATAATGTTTCGTTGTTGTTTGTAGAGTGGAATCAAGGCAAGTCGCGACTGAGGTAAAGTTGCGGGCAAGACGGGGGTCAGAGGCCCGTGCATAACTAAGTACAGCTCCCCATGCAACTCACAGCTCAGAGTACAACAGCATTTCACACTCGATTACTCCACAACCGCCAACATGCCCCCACCAATTCCACCCCCCGACGAGCAAGAGTTTGACCAGCCTCAGATCATCGCCGGTCTGTTGCACCCCGATCTACACGCAGGAAACAACGTCTTCTGGTACTTCACCTCATCGCCATGGTTCGAGGCGGAATGTCTCAATATCAACGTGTGGCTCAACGTCCGCCAAAATGACCCTGCTACTGCAGAGCAGATCATGAACGATAGGAAGCTATGGCAACAAAGACTGGACGATCAGCCCATAGGAACGCAGTATGTACTTGCCGGTGAAGGTCAAGGCGAAGGTCATCCATGGCTTCTACAGCGCCAGAACAAGGTCAGCGTGATAAAGGACGACAAGGAGCAAATAGAGACGTTCGTTGAGGGAAACTACTATACGCATGAGACGAAGATGCTCATGGCACCAAGCTTGCTTGATATTATCCAGAGTAGATTGGTAGGTTGGACGGAATATACAGGGAGAATGAGGGCTGACAGTTCGCACAGCTCACGGTATCAACACGCATGCAACAAATGGCTGAACTATCAAAGAACATGACACATTGGACGCCTGCAACCGGCTACTCGTATTTTCCACCTTCATACGAAGCTGCAAAAGCGGCTACAACGGCAAGTCGCGTGGGCAGCCCAACACTGGCGCCAACAGACCTAGATGGCGCGGTCCCACAATCGCAAGCTGCAGGCGCGGCAGCAGCAGTAACAACAGCACAAACAACCGAACCAACGGCCTCAGCCACCGAATTCTCAGACATGCTCTTCTTGCAATCGCTAAACTTAACCAACGCTTACGGAGACGAATACATGGATGAGAACCCGCTCAAGGGCGAACCAGGCGCCTTTGTCTTCGAGGGCACTAAAACAGCAGTCAGCGCAAGGAACAAAGCACAAGAACAAGCAGCACAAGCTACACAGCAGTTGCCACCAGCTGCTGCGCTAAAAATAGATACGCAGACTGCGAGCGCTTTGCCTTCTGCTGCACCAACTCCAAAGGGCGGTGCTACTCCGGGCGCCGCCCCTGGTACGCCGGGTAGCAAGGGCAGCGTTGGCCCTGCCCCGAAGAAGAAGAAGGATAGGAGAAAGAGTCAGGGTGGACTTACGAGCCCGACGACGCCAAGTGTCCCACAGTAAGGATTGGAAAGGGGACGGATGCCGGGCATGTTTTGCTCCATGATTTGTATGCGCTAGTAGAAGTTTTCTGGAATGATACCCACCCCTTTTTGAGTTTCCAATACATGCATAACAGCAGTCTTATGCAAAGTATATCTTCATGAGTCGTGTTAGTCGCAACGTTGCGTGTAATGCAAACCGCGCGTAACTTACACTGAATTTATGTTGTGACACATTTTTGTACGACGTTTTATATCCTTACACATTCCTTCATATCCTGACTGAATTGGCCCATATACAAAAACGCGCAGCCATGAATACTTAAACAGGATAAATATGAAATAGCCTTGTGGGTTTTCAAGCTTAGTATTCGAAATATGTAGTTAAGTCTAAGTTGCTACCAGCTAACGACAAATAAAATGCGTTTGATTTCCCTCAAACCTTCCACTCTTTTATTTTTCACATAAAATCAGTTTACTTGACTTTACTAAGCACCACTGTCTCGTCCGCCCCCAGAAATATATTTTCTCCTAATCCGACTAGTTACTGAAATAATCCCCACCTACAATCTTGATGTGAAGGTCGTCCGAAGATGATCTTGGGTTGGTTCTCGGGGATAGAGTGATGCGATGGACACGAGGGTGTATAGCACGATTGGTAGATCGATGTAATATACGGGGAGTTGAGAATCAAGTACTAATCCTTAGATTTCGAAGTTGAACACAATGAACCGTAAGGGCTCATTGCCTATTGTTATATACTAACGAATGTCCTATGTCCTATACGTCCTACGTTGTCCTACACTGTCCCATGCGTGGGACCTCGTGGTACATCGTGGGATTCCTTGGGACACACGTGACATGTCCCATGGTGGCGTTCCGCCAAGCTTTGTGGGATGCGGGGCAGGCTTACGTCATTGGTCCTTGTACACCTTTGTACGCCTTTGTCTGAGAAGGGATTCCGACAAGGTCTCCATCCTTCTGCCCTTCATATCTTGCACTGTGTCCTCTCCTTAGGTTCGTAACACTATCCTCCCTCTCCTAATCTCATGTCCTCATGAGCTGACGTGTCATGGTTTCCAGAAGTACCGCCCATCGTCATACCCTTGGTGACCGAATCAACCTAGTCGGTACAATCGCGATGGTGTCTTGTCAATATTGTGCGAAGCGGGGGCTCGAGTGTCGGATGTCGTCGTTAAAGAAAGAATGTGGAAATTGTTATCGCAACGGTGTGAAGTCGTGCGTTCCTGTGGAAGTTCCTGTCCCGAACTTTGAAAAGTTGGACAAGGAGATGGCGCGTCTTGAACAACAAGAGGCCGAAGCGGATGCTGCAGAGTCTGCGGCATTGGATGCTTTGATGGCTGCGCGTGCGAAGAAGGATCGTCTTCGCAAGCAGCGTAAGCAGTTAAAGCGTCGTGAGCAAGAATGGGTTGATGAGTCGGGAAAGTTTGTTGAGGATATCGAGGCGTTGGAAGCGGTCGAGGCGTTGAATCGAGAGGTAGCGCATCTGGAAGACGGTCTTATGCCTGGTACTTTGGCATTGGATTGGGGCGTCTTTATGCCTACTTTCTCTGGGGATGATTCCGAGTTCGCCGGTCTTGATTACGGTGGTACTGCGCAAGTAGCTGGCGGCAGTTCGTAAGGTTTGTGTCCGGTTCCCAAGTGTTCTCGCTGTCTGGGTATCCTAACCATTTGACTAGGTATTCTGTGCCGTTGTCCACAACTCTGTGTGTGACAATGTTCTCGACTTCAAATTCGTTTTCTTCTTCCGTTTCGTAGTGGAAGGTTTTCTGTAATGGCGTATCTGGGTGTGCTGGTTCTAAGAGGCTTACATGGAACCTGGGATGTATTCTAGCGTCTGGTGGAAGGTCGAGTGTGTACGTAACTGGTCCTTTCCGATTGAGAATCAAAAATGGTCCGACTTTGACGTTGTCGAGTCCTTTGCTTGGTCGTTTCGTGCGAAGATTCTTCGTGCGTAGATAAACTTTATCCCCCCTCTTTAGCTGAGGTGCCATTTTTCGTTTCTTGTTGACATATGAAATGCTTTGTCGTTGTGCTGTCTCGAGTTTGCTCTGTAGCAACTCATGTACTGCCTTCAGCTCCTCGGCTGTGGCGATAGCTGCTTCCGTTTTCTGGCTTGGAAGTGTGCGTGTAAAGAGATTTGGGTGTCTTCCGTGGTTTGCATAGAACGGAGTTTGTCCTGTAGACTCTGAAAGCTTGTTATTGTATGCCATTTGTGCCATAGGCAGAAGCGAAACCCAGTTGGTTTGCTGATGATTGACGTATATCCTGAGATATGCTTTCATGGTTCTGTTCGTTCTTTCTGTCTGTCCGTCTGTCTGCGGATGAAACGCTGTTGATAGCTTGCGTTTTGTACCGATCGCGGCCAAAAGTGTCGTCCAAAAGTTTGAAGTGAAGAGCTTGTCTCTGTCGCTTATAATTGACTTTGGGATGCCGTGATGTCTGATGATTCGATCGTTGATGATGTGAGCCAGATGTACTGCCGTGAAATCGTTTCTAAACGGGATGTACTCTGCTTGCTTGGTGAATCGATCGATTACAACGAGTATTGCGTTGTATCCTATGTTTGTCGCTGGGTCTCTTGAGACTGGTAAACCTGTGACAAAGTCCATAGAGATGTCTGCCCAAGGTTCTGTGGGTAGCTCTAATGCTTGCATCTCGCCGTAAGGTGCGTGTGTGTCGTGTTTGTTCTTCTGACATTCTGCACATTTTGCGATGAATGAGGTAACCTTTTCCTTCATTCCTGGGAACTCGTAGTTGCGTCTGATGAGTTCCATTGTTCTGGTAATGCCCGGGTGACCGTGTACAGGGTCGTCGTGGTGTTGTTGAATAATTGCTTCTTGCAGTTCTTCCGGTACATTGTTTCCGATGTGGAGGATAGCGTTCAGTGTCTTTGCTGGTCCTAGCGATCCGTCCTTGTTAACCTTAAGTATCGCGGTGTCGATGACTTCCTTGGTGCCTGCGATATCTGGTCTTCGGCTGAGAGCGTCTGCTCTGCCGTTCTCTTTTCCTGGTGTGTACACAATCTTGAACTTGTATTGTCCGAGTAGTTCTGACCATCTTACTTGTCTGCGGTTGAGTACTTTGGTGGTCGTAAAGTTCACTAGATTTTTGTGATCTGTGTATATCGTAAGTTCCGAGCAGCTTTCTGCGTATACTCTCCAGTGTTGTAAGCATGCGACAATAGCTAGTAGCTCCTTGTCGTGAACGTCGTATCGTTCTTCTGGTCCTGAGAATTTGCGAGAGTAGTAGGCGATGGGGTGCCATTTGCCTTCGTGCAATTGGCTTGCGCATCCGCCTAGCGCGAGATCCGATGCGTCGGTCTCAAAGCGTAATGGGTGTCCTGCTTGGAATATTCGAAAGCATGGTGGTTCTATGCTTGCTTTCTTAAGCGTTTGGAATGCGTTCTCTGCTTCCTTGCTCCACTTAAAGGGTACGTCCTTTCTTGTGAGTTTTGTCAAAGGGATGGCGATGTTTGAGAAGTCCTTGATGAACTGTCGGTTGAAGTTCAAGAATCCTAAGAAGGACTGTATCTGTACAACTGTTGTCGGTGTTGGCCAATCCTTGATAACCTGAATTTTTTCTTCGCTCATTTGTACTCCGTCCGCTCCTACTACATAGCCTAAGAAGTTGACCTTAGTCTTGTGAAATTCACACTTCTCTGGTTTGAGTCGGAGGTTGAACTGCTCAAGGGCCCTTAGTACCGTCTTGACATGTTCAACATGGTCCTCTAAAGTCTCGGAGTAGACGAGAATGTCGTCTAGATAAGCTATGACAAAGATGTCTAGATGTGCTCTCAACACGTTTTTGATGAGTTCTTGGAATGTTGCTGGGGCGTTCGTGAGCCCAAACGGCATAACTGTGTATTCGTAGTGTCCGTATCTTGATCGGAACGCCGTTTTCCATTCCTCACCTTTCGCTATGCGAATCAGGTGGTATCCATCTCGAAGATCTAATGCTGTAAAGATCTTTGCGCGAGATAATCGATCCCGTAATTCTGTAATGTTCGGTAAGGGGTATCGATTCTTGATTGTGATGTCGTTGAGCTTGCGATAATCTACACATAGTCGTAGTTTTCCGTCTTTTTTCGGGACAAACATGATTGGATATCCTGCTGGTGACTTCGATGGTCGGATATATTTCTTTGCTAGGCTTGTCTTGATGTAGTCGCGTAACGTGCTCAATTCTTTTTCCGATAGTCCGTATATTGGGCCGAAAGTCGGTTTCTTTCCTTCCTGTAAGACAATCTTGTGGTCCCAGGGTTGGTGCTTTGGCAATGCTTGTTCATCTGCCACTTCCCGGAATAGATGTTCGAATTCTTTGTATTCTGCGGGGATCTTAGGAGTTGCGCGTTTCTCCAAAACTCTAGTCTGTCGACCCGGTGGCTCCGTTCCGGCGTCTGCTGAGTCGGACCCTTGTTTCTTAAGGCCGTCCTTTGTCGAGGCTCGCTTTTTCTTTGCGATGTTATTCAGTTTCCTCTCATCTACCATCGTACTCTGACAATGCGTAGGCTGGCTTGTGGTTGCGTCCGTTCCACAGCACTCGAATGAGAACGTCTTCGACTTCCAGTCGATCCGTGGGTTGTGTTCTCGTAACCATGGAAGTCCTAATATGATGTCGTGGGTAGCTAGTCCGAAGACATCTAGGTCTATCTTCTCTTGGTGTCCTTGGATGTTGAGCGTCACTTGTCTGACCTCGTGGGTGATCTCTTGTTCACCTGGCATTGGCTCTCCGTTGGCCACATGTAGTGGGTAAGCTTCTTGTTTCCGTAGCGGCTTCAGTCCGGCTGAAGACGCTGCGTGCGCTGAAACGTAGTTGGCTTGTGATCCCGAATCTACTAATGCCTTCATCCACCTCCCTTCAAGCTTCACCTGAAGCTTGATGAGGTCTAAGGAGTTTACTGAGTTAATCTCCTTGCCGGGCCGCTCTGGGCCGGGTGCTGGCCTAAAAAAGCCTGATTTCCAAATCCATGGAATCCTTTGGCTATCGCATGAAGGTCGC